TGCCCAGCATGACTGTGGTCTCCTTCCAGGAAAGGCCCAAGCCACGTGTTCCTGTCCTGCACTTCAGAGCTGCCCAGCCACCCTTCGTCCTCTGTGTGAAGCTGGTGAGTGCTGGGCTGCTGTCCTCGTCTTAAGCCCAGCCTGCCCAGCAGTCTTGAACCTCTAGGCTGGGCGGAGGCTGTGGTCACTACCCTGGGGCTGGGGGCAGCTCCAGGGGGGCCGCCTGAGGAGCCGCCAGTCCCTGCTGGGTGCCACCCTGGCCCTCGAGCCCACAGAGCTGCTGTGCTGCCCCCTCCCTGCAGCAGAGCCAGAGCTCCGGCCATCTGGGTCTCTGTGGTGTGGGCACAGGATGTGCTCTGCTCTTGGGTCCAAGGTCGGCTCAGCAGAGCTAAGCACGGCCCCACACCTGTCTGGGACATGGGCTCATTTCCTGGCCCAGGCAGGTCCCCAGCAGTCCCCTACCCCCCCCCCCCCCCCCCCCCGCCGTGCCACAGTGGTATCAGCTTCCTGCTGGGGCTGAGACAGGCCACTGGGACACTAAGGTGTGGCAGGCCCCGTCCCACTGGCGGCAAGTCTTCCCAGCGCTCGCCCACCTCAGGAGCCGAGCGTCCTGCGCAGGAAGTCCTCTCCCATGTACAACTGCATGGTCACCCCCGCAGAGCAGGCCTCACGGTAGGGCGGAGGCCCATCAGGTTGCTGCTGCCCGCCTGGGTTCTGCCCGCCCTCTCAGTGTTGGCGGAGGCCGAGCCAGGGAGCCCGTGCCTGGCGCCTTGCAGACTCTAGTGTCCTTCCTGAACCATGTCTGCTTGCCACTGGCCTCAGACCAACAGCCGGGACACTCCGGGTCCTCCCCACTGGTCTGCGCGAGTGGCTGCACCCGCTGTTCCTCCCAGGTCGTGGGGTGGCTTCTCTGGGTGACACCCAGTGGTGGCAGGCAGAGGACCCGCAGGCCAGACACAGGCAGCTTGGGGAAGGCTCTGAAACCAGGCTGGGCATTGGGTCCCCTGGCTCACTGCAGGTCACCAGGCCGAGGACAGGAACAGGTTCTTCAGCAAGCTGCCCTTGTGGGGGCTCCCATGCCTGAAACGGGAGGCATCGAGGGGGGACCCGGGGTTGTGGCCCCTGCCCTGTTGTTGGGATGGGCTGGGGCAGAGGACATGAGCAGGAAGGGCTCGGGGTGTGACGCTCCTGGGATGGGGGTCACGTGTGAAGGCAGGTCTGGATGACTAGGGGCAGGGAGGACACCTGTCAGCTGAGTCCCCTGGGGGGCAACTAGAGAGAGGGGCCTTGTGTAGAGGGGCCGAGGCCAGACCAGATGGCAAGGACACCCCAGAGAATCTCACCCTAATGGTGATGGGCAAGACCAGCACACTGCAGAGCCGCGGTTCCCTCCCTGGCCCTTGGTTCCCTTGAGCCCCACCCGTTAGCAGAGGAGCAGAAGTTCACAGTGGACCACCTGTCAGGCAGGTCCAGGCAACACAGACCCAGTGGGTGGGTCTATAAGAAGCAGGGGGGGGGCCTGACTGAGCCACCCCTGCTGCTCCCCCACAGGACCTCACCGGGGGTGAGTTTGAAGAGAACCTCCGGTCGCTGCAGCTGCAGGAGGGCCGGGACTTTGTGCATTTCAGCTGAGGGCTGTGGCCGCTGCCCTGGTGGGGTCTGAGTGGAGCACCACTCAGGCTCCAGGACCAGGTCACGGCCTCCTTGGCACGTTGCCCCATTGCCCCTGGCTGCTGACGTCCAGCCTGCCTTCTGATGGACTCCAGGCCTCAGAGGCCCTCAGGGACACCGGGGAACCCGTCCAGCACTGGCTGATGTGTCGGGCGTCACTGAGCGAGTCTCCGTTGTGCCTGCGCCATCCTGTGTCTGAGGCCGGAGCCCTCGCATGTCCACCAGGCCAGCCTCTGCTCACTCCCATGCCCCCACAAGCTCATCCTCACCTTCACTGCAGCCATGCACTCCAGGACACAAGTGGACACTGGACTGTGGCCCATCAGGGGCACGGGTCAGCAGCACTGGCCTGGCTCTCTGTGCCCCCCCCCCCGGGGCTCTGCCTGCCTTTCCTGCACCCTCAAGGGCAGGCCTGGGCTCCCACCAGCATGTCACCACCCCGGCCTTCCCTGCGCTGGTGCTGTGTGTCCTGTGCCTGCTCCCTCCGCTGCAGCACACTGGCCACCTCCCCACGGCCTCTCCTGGCAGCCAGCCTGGCGCTCCGCTGCTGTGCGTCCACATTGGCCCAGTGCTCACTCACACTGCGCCCTGCGTCGGCACAGGGTGCTCTGTGCACCTGAGATGATTCCATGCCTTGAGCTGACCTGCAGCTGGGGGGCAGGTACCAGGAGGCAGAGCCATGTCACCAGGGGCCTCCAGCACACTGCTGAGGTGGGAGACAGGGCTGGAGTGGGCAGGCAGGAAGCTGGGCCCCCAGGGCACGTCTCTGTGCAGCAGGGCTGGAAACTAGACTTGAGCCAGGCCTCACCAAGCTCAGGCCGACCCCCAGGAGTCAAAAGGGGGCATGGCGACCTGACCAGGCCAGAGAGCGCGGGCAGGCAGGTGGACACTGAGGGCCTTAGCAGGCCTGGGCTGGGGGCCAGCTCCCCTGACCCTGAAGACGCACACACACCCCTAGCCCCCAGCACTCTCCAGGACCCGTGCTTTCTCCGTGTGGCTCTAATAAACCCTGTTACTTTGCCCTCACCTGAGTCTGTGGATTTCATTCTTCAAATTTAGAAAACACCACCCCTGGTGTACCCTGCACAGCCCTCCTATCTCCGTGAACAAGCCGCACCGTGCCCTTGGCTTGCTGCAGACCCCTGTTCCACAGGTGTAGTGTCACTGCTCAGAACCGGGGTGGCCTCATGGTCTCCCCACAGCGTCTCAGCTCCATGCACCACATCTGACTCCATCCCTCGGAGGATGAAACCCTGCATTGCCTCCTGAGACCCCGTCACACAGATGGACACGCATCCCAGTCCCAGCTGGGCAGGTCTCCCAGCTGCATCCAACTGGTTGCTTAACCCGCCCGAGAGTGCTGGCCTTCACTTCTCAGAGCCCTTCCCGAGGCCTGTCTCCATCGCTGGCCTCGATCCCTGCCTGACTTCTCCAGAGGCCCGCTCAGCCTCGGCCTGGCAGCCGCACCAGGCTTCTGCCTCTACCCTGCGAGAGCAGCCAGTGACCCCTGGTCTCCTGCCCACCCTTCTCTGTGGCCCTCGGCCTGCTCGGGAGGTCTGCGTGCACCCTCTGCCCCAGGAGCACTGCTTAGGAGGTCGGCCGGCTTCCCAGTCCAGCGAGGAGCTCGGGTGGGCAGGGCCCCACAGGGAGGGTGCACCCTCCACCACAGGCACGGCGCTCCTCTGAAGACCCCGCTGTGTCCACCTACAGCTGGGGACGGGGCTTGTCTGGCCCAGGGCCTCAAATCCGTCCCCTCACCTGTCAAAACCAAACCTCACAGTGGACACCTTGGCAGGAGCCCTGGCATCCGGTTGCTCTCTGGCTGGAACAGGCGGGTGCCGCTGGCCCCGCCCTCCTGCCCAACGTGCTGGCTCCACCTGAGTCAGGCACGAGCTGCTCTCTGCACCTGTCCGTGTGACTCCTGCTCACCTATGCCCTGTGGAGAGGCCCTCCTGATCCCCTTCCCTGAGACACCAGCATGCTGCCCACTGCCCACTCCACTGGACACTGGCCACATGGCTGTCATGAGGATGACAGGAGGGTGTCCTGGACCCAGGAAGGCTCCAGAAACTGCTGCTGCACAGGGGAGGGGACCCCAGGCCTCTGGTGAGGATAAGTGCCTGGGCCTTGGGGTCTGGGACAGCAGAGCTGGCTGGCCAGGGTGATGGCCTTTCCTTGGGTGGCAGAGTCAGACTAGAAGGAACTGCCGTGTCTTTGATGGGTCCAAGGGCAAGTGACTGTCTCTGGGCTTCAGTGTGTCACTGTCCCCTTGGGCACCCCTGCTCTGTCTGGCGGGATGGCAGGGCCTTACGGGTGCAGCTGGGCCTGGTCATAGGGCCCTCCTGGGACCTTGACTGGCCTTGTCCAGGACGGAAATCCCCAGAGCAGGAGGGAGGCACCTGTCAGGTGGGGAAGGAGTAAAAGCCGGAGCCCAGCGGGCAGCAGGTGGCCCACTGGCTAGAGCGTAAGGACATGGAGCTCCCCACCCACAGGTCCGGTGGCAAACAGCAACACCAACACAGGTGGCCTGGTGCATCTGGGCTCCTGGAGGCCTCAACCCTGACGTGGGGTGCCTCCAACTCTGCTCCCACCACCCCATCCAGTCTCAGCCTCCTGCCGCCTGCAGTGTTGGCCCCACTCGCCAGCCACTTGCACCCGAGCATCTGAGCATGGGAGCCTCTAGGGTGCAGCCGCAGCCCCGTCTCCAGAGTGCAGGGGAGCCTCTGGGGTGCAGCCACAACCACTGCCCCATCTCCAGAGTGCAGGGGAGCCTCTGGGGTGCAGCCACAACCACTGCCCCGTCTCCAGAGTGCACGGGAGCCTCTGGGGTGCAGCCGCAGCCACAGCCCCGTCTCCAGAGTGCACGGGAGCCTCTGGGGTGCAGCCGCAGCCACAGCCCCGTCTCCAGAGTGCACGGGAGCCTCTGGGGTGCAGCCGCAGCCACAGCCACAGCCCTGTCTCCAGAGTGCACGGGAGCCTCTGGGGTGCAGCCGCAGCCACAGCCCCGTCTCCAGAGTGCAGGGGAGCCTCTGGGGTGCAGCCGCAGCCACAGCCCCGTCTCCAGAGTGCAGGGGAGCCTCTGGGGTGCAGCCGCAGCCACAGCCCCCGTCTCCAGAGTGCACGGGAGCCTCTGGGGTGCAGGCGCAGCCACAGCCCCCGTCTCCAGAGTGCACGGGAGCCTCTGGGGTGCAGCCGCAGCCACAGCCCCCGTCTCCAGAGTGCACGGGAGCCTCTGGGGTGCAGCCGCAGCCCCGTCTCCAGAGTGCACGGGAGCTCCTGTGGGTGGAGCCACAACCCCCGTTTCCAGAGACAGACAGACAGACAGGGAGTGGCTTGGTACATGATTTTATGGGAGGGAAGCAGGCTTGTTCCATGGAGGCAGAAGCAGGCAGCCAGGCCACCGGCACAGCCGCACGTGAACAGCACACCTGGTGACGGCTTCAGCGACCCAGGTGCCGTCCCTCGGTGGATGGGCAGCAACGTGCCATGGGCAGCTCCTCCCCACTGCACAGCCCCAAGGGCTCTCAGGACTGGTTCAACAGGCACCGGGCTGCAGGAGAGAGACACCGTGTCAGGCTGTCCAGCCCCCTCTCCCTGTGCACCCTGGGCCTCTGGAGGACAAAAACAGGTGGCAGGAGACACTTCCTGTGCTGGGTTCCCACCGGAAGATTCTCTGTGCCACTTCCCCAGACCCGGAGCCTGAGCCCTGGAGGACAGCTGCTATGGCCTTGCCACCACAGCGAGGCAGCTGCCAGGCTGACGTGTGCATGAAGGGAACGGCAGGGCACATTCGACACAGAAGGCTGGCACTGGGCTCAGCCCTGGCACACGAGAAGGCAGGAGGCCCCAGCCACAGCACGGCCTGTGTACCTGCGAGGCCCACTTGGAGGCCAGGCTGCGTGGCACTACGTGCCTGAGAGTGCTCCCGCTTGGGCCCCGAGCGGGGAAGGAAGGGGAGGAAGACGATCTTATGGGGGACAAGTGCCCACAAGGAACACAGAGAACACCAGTGTGGTGGGAGAGACAGGCCACTGAGAAGGAAGCAGGGAGGCTGAGAGGGCCTGGCGGCCAGGGCGGCCAACACCAGGCAGGGTCCTGTGCAGCTGGAGACCCGAGTCCAGAGAGGCCACAAGACAGGTCAGGTGGCAGCATGCCAAGGCCACAACCCAGGTGACCCTTCAGCCTGCAACGCGTCGGGAGAGTCCAGTCTCCAGGCTGAGCACAGACAGAAGAGCTGGAGGCCGTGCAGGTTGGCACGGGGGTCCGCAGACAAGAGGAGAGACATCAGATCAGAGGGTCCAACGGAAAACCAAGATGGCGGGCGGACAGCGGGACTGAGCTGGTACGCCTAAGCTGGACTGGAAGAGGAAGAGCGTGTACTGTCTGTTCAGATGAAGAATATGGAGGCTGCACAACGAGGGGTAGTGGACCTCACAAGTCAAGGTTCCGTAAGGACACGCCTGGTCACACAGGCTGACAAAGTAAGGAGTGGCAGGGCCACGGAGCTCTCACAACACTCGACAGCGAAGGCCTGAGACAGCACGTGGAGGCGCCCGGCTCACAGGCTCACTCCTGCTCGGGTGAAAGCACGTCGCTGTGCTTGGCCGTCAGCGACCTGAGGTGCCTGCCTGGAGCTGCTGGGGGGGTGCACAGAGCCCTGGCCGACACCAGCTCTGCGCCTGCACCCACTGCTGAGGCTAGGCGTGCGCTGGGGTGGGGATCGGTCTCAGCCTGGGGGTCCCACCCCTGCTCTTCATGGGAGCTGCCAGGTCGGCAGCATGGAGGTCTGGAGGAGCTGCCCCCCGGCTCTGGCAGGGGAGGGAGAGTCCACAGAGACCAAGGGCCCCCGGGAGCACGTGTAGCCCAAGTCAGGAATGGAAACACACAGGACAGCGCCAGCTGCAGAGTGGCGTGGCCTGCTCAGGAGACCCACAGGCATGGCAGAGTGTGCACAGCGGGACGCCAGGGACACGGTGGTCAGGCTGGGGGGGAGAGCAGGCAGCGGGCCAAGGGAACTAGAAGCAGAAGATGCCAGGGTGAAAGCCACACCTGGGTGAGGCAGTGGGAAGGACCGTCCACGCAGAGATCCCAGAGCAGGGGACACAGCAGCCGAGCCGAGCCGCGCCCAGCAACAGCGAGACGCAGGCTGCAGGCCAGGGCCGACCTCACCCCAGCCCCCCAGACCCCCAGCCAGACAGCCTCGCGGCTGGGAAGGGGCATCGAAGAGGTCTGGGCTTTCTGAGGCCTGGGACTGAGCCCTGGGCTGCTTCACCACCAGCCGCATCCTCAGCCGTTTTTAGGGTTTATTCCAGGACAGGGTCTCACTAAGTTCCCAGGCTGGTCTTGAACTTATGATCCTGGGGCCTCCTGGAATCGCCCATGGCCCCGCTGCCCCAGGGAGCACTGCAGAGGCAGGAGGGGCCCGAGAAACCCCAGAAGGGCAGACGTCCAGGGAGGCGGCCCCCACAGAAGGCTCTGTGAGAAGAAGGGAGCCATCCCTGCGAGTCGTGAGACCTGGCACCACCACAGCAGGCCTGTGGGGCTCAGACTGGACGAGGACACAGGACCTGCCTGTGGGAGAGGAGCAGGCCACTGCAGCACGTCAGTAGGACCAGGCGGGGTGGGCCATGTGGACACGCCACCCAAGGCAAGCTGACCCTGACTGGAAGACTTGAACACCCCGGAATTGAGGGCTCCGGGTGGCGGGCAGCACAGTGCTGCGTCCCCCGGGTGGTGGGAGGTGAGAGAGGCTGACCTTGGAGACGAGCTGGGGTCTGGGCACACCGAGGAGGTCACAGAGGCGATTCCGCTGCTCTCTCACGACCGGGAGGGCTGCGTCCCTGCAGAGGAGAGGCAGCCCTGAGCCCTGACCACGCGAATACAGGTCCACACCAGCCTCAGGTCTCAGCAGACCTGTCCACCTTGGGCCAAGTGGAGATCAGGAAAAGACACCCACCCTGAAACAGCCACCCAGGGGAATCGTGGCTGCAGTAGGAGGCAGAAAAGGCGCCCACACCAGCAGGCTCTGCTCAGCCCCAGGCCACCTCCCGCCCAGACCAGGGTCACGCGGAGGCGGGTGAGGACACAGGTCTGTCCCCAGGACGGGTAAGCTGTGTCTGAATCCAGCTGTTTACTGCTTTAACTGAGAGTGCACATGACGTTCAGCAACACTGTGCAGGAGCGTCGGGGTGCTCTTCTATGATGAAGTGAGTTATTTCAAATCCTCTGGAACATTTCATAAGCTCTCCCTGGGCCGGGATGGGCGCAGCCTTAGCCACTCCTCTTCACTGCCCTTCCTCAAGCTGCTTAGATCCTGACCCAAACGTGCCTTGAATAGCAAGAGCCCACTGTGGAGTGGCACCCAGGCCCTGCCCCTCTGACCTGGGGCATGTCCTTAGGGGTCTGTCCTGTCAAACCTGAAGCAGTCTGTGGGCCCCCTGCAGGAGCCACGGTGGGTGCTGAGGCCACCTGACGGCCATGTGGCCAGCAGTGGCACCCCCCTTGTTCCCAACTCCCAGCGTGGGGGGGGGGGGGCAGGCACCATCAGTGCCCAGAGTCCTCAACACAGGCACACGGGAGGTGCAGCGCAGTGCCCAGCAGGCCCAGGGACAGGCAGAGAGACAGCCAGACGCCCACCAGCAAGGCCTCAGCGACCCCCAACCCCACGGGGAAGTGCAGCTGGGAGGAACCAGCTCACAGAGACCCTCTGCCACCTAAGTCCCAGGAGTGTCCCGTCGAGGTTGGAGGGAGGCGGGGGGACGCGGGGCAGGAGGGAGGAGGCACTCACCAGGCTGTGTCACTGAGCACGGCCATGACCTCGTCCAGGACGTCTGCAGCCACCACGTCACTGTAGGTGAGCACCATCTCGTAGACCCGGCTCGCCGTGGCCTTCCGGATCTGGGTGGGGAGGGTGCAGGTCAGAGGGAGAAGGCACCACGCTGCCAGGGAGCCTGGTGCACACAGACCCCGGCCGCCCAGCGCAGGCTGGAGCCCAGCGCAGGGCAGCCTGCCCGCCGTCTCCTCCAGCAGAGCTCTGGCATGACCCACCTGTCTTTTTTAGTTGTAGCTGGACATTTATTGATTTTTTTTATGTGGTGCTAGGACTGAACCCAGGGCCTCGCATGTGCTGGGCAAGTGCTCTACCACTGAGCCACATTTTGACAGAATCACAAAAGTAGGGAAGATGATTCACACTGACCCAGTCCCCGCACTTCCCCTCCTCTGCTGACGTCTCCGATGTATTCACGTGCGTATTTTTATATACGAGTTTTTTAATTAGCATCCCCCAGACACACCTGGTGTGGGACTCTCATGTTCTTGCGTATGTGCGAAGGTCCAGTGGGACTCATTCCTGTTCTTCCCTTTCCCGTCCCTCCTCCCTCCCCTTGGTCCACTCCACTGACCTTTCCTCTGTTTTGCATTCCTTCTTCCTTTGGTGCTGGGGATGGGCCCGGGGCCCTGCATGTGGTAGGCAAACGCTCACCACTGGGCTACATCTCCAGCCCGCTTTTGAGACAGGGTCCTGCTCACAGCCCAAGCTGGCCTTAACTGGAGCACCTCGTCCCTTGGCCCCGAGTCACTGGGCTCACGGTGGCACCGGCGGTGCCTCCCTTCTGAGCCCTCCCTCTGAAGTCAGAGCCAGCGCTCATCCCCCAGACGCAGGTCTGGGTCCACAGGCAGAGAACGGGAGGAGGCCGACACTCACCACGGGGAACGGGTGGCACAGCAGGAGGGCCAGCTGCAGGAGGACCTTCTTCCTCACGTCACCACAGAACTGCACCATCCCGCAGAGCCTGTGAGAGCCAGAGAGCGGCTGAGGATCACCCACTCCGCCAGGACCCCGCGACGACCCTGCCGACCAGCACAGGCAGCCTGCCTTCCGACTGCTTCAGACAAACGCGCCTGAGAGTGGACGCCCAGGCCACCTGCAGCCACCACGCTCTCCCGCAGCCATCCCTGGCCAGGTCTCAGGACTCACACCGCGATGCTCGACAGAAGCTTCTGGATGTCCTTCGACTTCTTGATCTCTTCCTTACACAGGGCGAGCAACTTCACGCAGAAGGGGTGGCTGCAAGAAAACAGGGCACTCTGGAGGGACCCGGGGCACGAGCCGCCTGCCAAGGCAGCCTTGGAGCCAGGCAGCAGAGCTGGCTCTCACTCCCAGGTGCAGGGACGAGGACGCCCACCTGCCCCAGCAAACTGCTGCTGCCATGGTGCTCCTGTACATGATCAGGATGTGGCCACTGACCCCAGTGACCACTGCAGTGGCAGATCCTGCCCAGGCACCAGCACAGAGCAAGGCCCTCAGCGTGTCCCCAGCAGAGGGAGGCCCGAATGCTGCCCAGTGAGCCCAGCTCCAGGCCACTGCCCTTCAGGGCCAGCCTGGTCCAGGAATACTGCTGGCCCTGTGAACAGCACTGCCCACCGCCCTGACCACTCCTTCCAACACGGCCTCAGCCCACCGAAGTGCCCCCCTGGGAACTGAGAGCTGTCATGCTGGGAGCAAGTCCCTCTGGGATACCTCCCCTGACCCCACCTCTCCTGGGGCTCTGCTGTGTCCCTGTGCAAAACCTCCAACCACAGGCACTCCACGTCCTCCATCAGGGCTGTCCTGGTCTATGGCCAGCTGGGGTCATCTCTGGCAACCCCAGGGGCTCACAAGCTCCTGGTGCCCTAAGGATTTCCCACTGGGGCTCTGCCTCCTGAGTCCCCTTGTCTGGGTGGGTCTGAGGAGCCCCTCGGCCCGCATCTCTGTCCTGGGCCGCCCGTCTGCGCACTTTTCTGGCCTGGGCAGGGCAGTGGAGGGCGAGAGGCTGCTGTCACCCTGAAGTCTCCACTCACGTGCCACCTAGCAACCCGCTGTGCGGTGAGGCGAAACCAACGCCAGCCACACCCTCCTCATGCTTGCTGACCATGTCCAGTCTGTACAGAGCTGACCCCCATCACCCTGAGCCACCCAGGGGCAGTGGCAGCCTGTGACCCCGCTGCTCGTGAGGCTGAGGCAGGAAGGCCACACATGCAAGGCCAGGGCAGAAGGCTGGTGAGTGGCTTGGCCAGGAGGCCACGAGCCAGCGCACTCACTTCTCCTCCGTGGTGAAGATGTCGAAGCACCCGTTGGCCAGCACCTGGTCCAGCATCTTCAGCAGTGCCACCGACACCCTGTGGGGAGAGGATGGCTGTCAGGGATGGCTGCCGAGGCCCAGGCAGGGGCTGCAGGCAAGGTGCCCTGTTGGGAGGTGGAACCACTGGTCAAAATTCTGGTGCCACACCCCAGAACCCCAGAGGGCACGAGAGAATTCACGGGGAGATGCAGGTGCCAGGCGCAGAGGACGGACGGAGCTGAATGACTGCTCCTCTTGAACAACTGGCAGCCAAGCCAGCAGACCACACTCTCAAGGACCGAGGCGCCTGGCTCCAGCCAGAAGGGACCCAGGCTGGGGTCCCAGCCAGGGGCAGAGCGACGCAGCAGAGCGGGCGGGCAACCAGACATCTAGGGCAAGACAAGCACCGTCCACACACTGCCCAGGTGCAAAACTGACTCAAAATGGATCACAGGCAAACGTGACCCCTCCGCAGAAGCTTCTGGAAGGGAACACCAGTCTGGGACCTGGGAGCAGGCCTCAGGTGCTGGCCCGAGGCTGAGATGACAGAAGGAGCTGGAGGCTTCTGCAACCAGAGGACTGTCAAGAAGCCACAGCAAAGAGAACACCAGACAGACGCAGGCTTCCCACGCAGGCTGACCGCACCTGTGCTGGCAGCTGCCCGCCAGGTCCCTGGAGAGTGGTGGGAGTGCTGCCCAGGTCCAGGTCCCGCGGGGCAGGGAGCAACAGGGCCTCAGAGGCCCAGGACGCTGCTGCACACCGCCCTGGAACACCGCCGGCAGCACGCACCACACACAACCAGCCCGACACTGCTTCTGCCCAGGAGGGGGCCGCAAGCCACCCCGTCCCTGTGTGCTCGCAGCGGCTACCTTCAAGCCAGCCACGATGCCCATGGAACCCTAGAGTCAAGGAGCGGGGGCCCCTCGGTAACTACCCTGACCGAAGAAGGCAGGCCCTCCCGGTTCCATTCCAACAAATCACAAAGCTCAAGCTCAGCTTCTGTGCCGGCGGACTCTGAGGCAGCCGGGCAGCCGGGCAGAGAAACCTGAGGAGGGGGCTCTGCAGCCACAGGCTGGTTGCCTCTTGCACCTTGCACCTCTACAGGGCCGTCCACAAACAGGAGGCAGGGAGGCCAACTGCTGAATCTGCGGGCGAGGCCTGGAGGCTTCCCCAGCCACAGAGCATTTCCACCCTGAGGTCAAGGGGTACGGGGCCTCCCCTTGCCTATGCAAAGGCCACTGCCGGAAAGCTAGGACCAGCTGCTTGCAGGAAGAAGCCTTGCCGGGACTCCCCATGGTAGGGAGCTGTCACGGGAGCACCCTGGGCCTGTTCCATGTCACCCCGCACTTGCTTAAGTTACCTTTACTTCAGTGCACACAAAAATGGTCATTTCCCTGCCCAAACTGTGGGGTTCGGGCTTGGAGACCAGATGGGCCCAGGAGGCCCCGGCCCTGTGGAAGCAGGGTGGACAGGGCGCCACTCACCGGTCATTCAGGAGGTTATTCTCGAAGACCTGCAGGAGGGTTTTACTGAAGCTCCCCAAAGCCTCCGGATCATTCTGAATCCCCTTCATGTGCTCCAAGAGGCTCTGCGTGGAATATCTGACCTGCCAGATGGAGAGGGTGTCAGGCAGCACGGCCAGGTCCACCTGCCACCCAGGCTGGCCGTGCAGCAGTGAGGGCAGACGTTGCCAACCATCGAGGCAACTCCACCAGAGACGTGAGGGTCCTGTAGAGGCTGACGGTGGCCTTGGGCGTGGGCCACGTCACACGTCCAGGACAGGCCCTGTGGACAGCACCGGTCGGCCACCCTGAGGTGCTAAGGCTTTCAGCACCTGCGGCATGAGTCCACAGATCAGCCACAGACCCCGGGAGCCCAGGTCACCGCGTGGGCAGATCAGATACAGGTCCCAGAGGCAGACCCAGGGCCAAGGGGACTGTCCCCGAGTGGAGCAGAGGACAGCGAGGGCAGGGCCTGTTTGCAGCTCAGCTCCAAGGCCGCGGAGAAGGCAGGTGAGTGAGGAGGCCCCGGGCTGCCAGCCGAGCCTTGGGGCATGGTGGAGGTGGACAGCGAGTGGGACGCGACCCCTAGGGTGGCGAGGCATCAGCCGGGCCCAGGAGGGGAACACACCACAGGATGAGCAGCAGCATGTGTGACCCGCCAAGCGCAGTGTCCCCGACCAACTTGGGGAGTATGGACCCTGGGGGTGCTGGCCAGGCTGTCTGAAGTGTGACCACAGTGTGGTGACAGGGCCATGTGGGCCCTGGGACATACAAGAGGTCTCCTGCAGCGAACAAGTTTCTGCAACTGGTTTTAAGGTCTCCCCTTGAGTGGCGGCTGCGTGTGGGCATGTCAGGAGCGGGAGGGGCGGGCCTGCGGCAGCCAGGTCAGCCAGAGGCCCTTCCACGTCCTCTGAACTAGGCTCATGCCACATTTCCCAGGGAGGGTCGAGACCAGCCACCCCTGCCGTGGGAAAGACACCCAGCTACACACCAGCGCCAAGCTGTAAACCACTCCTGCGTTTTACGGAAGCACACTAGGCCAGCCAAGGCCACCAGAGGCCACTAAGGCATCCGGGCGCCCGTGGCAGAGCCACATGACAGCGGGGCCCGGGCTACACCAGAGGTGGTGACAGCCTGGCCACTTCCACGTGACGCCACTCCCCCTTCACCAGGTGGGGGTGGTTCTCCGGAATCTGCCCTGGTGGCCAAGGCCACCAGCCCCGGGCTCAGCACAGAGCTGGTCGCCTGCTCCGGAGCACACAATCCCCAGAGCCACAGCAGAGAAGGCAGCACCGGCCCGGGTCCCAGAGGAGCTGTCTCCCGCCGCTCACCGTAGACTCTGTCAGGCCTCCCACCGACACGGCCAGCCCCAGCAGGACGTGGTAGCGGTAGGTGGGCAGCGCCAGCAGCTGGGTGATGTGGGGGAAGGCCTGGGAAGGTGCGTTCCAGTTCACGGAGGCCAGGTCGGACCTGCAGGAGGGCAGCTCCTTGAGGCCAGGCTCACGGGGGCCCCGGGGGCCCGCGCCCTCCAGTACCTGGGAAGCAGCCTTTCCAGGTCCTGTCTGTGAGGCACATGGGGCACGGGAGGGCTGTCGAAGTGCAGGAGCGTCATGAACACGCTGCAGGCGTGGGCGCGGAACCGGTCAATCTTCTCGCTGGCCTGCTGGGCCACGCAGCACATGAGGCGCTCGCACCTGCCAACCGAGGGCCCCGTCAGCACAGCCGCACAGGACAGACCACGCCCTGCCCTGAATGCCACAGGAGCTACTGGGTAGAGGGAACAAAAGGGGACTACAGGGTGGGCCGTGGGCGAGAAGGGTGGGGAGAGGGCAGGATGGGGGGCAGCACAGCCCCCCACCAGGAATCCCCGGGGCCAGGGGGCTGAGTTGACGGGGCCTGTCCTGGCAGGGGGGGCAACAACTGCAGGGCCCCTAAGCCAGAGGCACCTGCCTCAGCCCTCAAAGCTGCTGTCAAACAGGCCAGACTCTCAAGAGGCAGGGTCTATCCTGGGGGGACCAGGTAGAAGTGGCCCTGGACAAGAGCCACAGGCTGTAGAGGTCGGGACAGGGACCAAGATGGGATCTGAGGAGAGGGGTGCCTGCCCCACGGGCGGCCCCAGTGGCCCCCTGCCACTCACACGTGGGCGTCAATCAGCGAAGGCTGAGTTCGCGCTAGGAGAAGCGTTAGTTCCATCAGGCTGGTCATGGCAGCCTCGCGGACCCTGCAGGACACAGAGACCCAGGAAGGTGAGGCACAACTGGGCTCCAGCCCCGCTGCACCAGCTGCACCCACCAGGCCTCTCGCAGCCCCCGAGGCTCTTCCGGAAGGAAGGTCCTGAGACACAGGGAAACCACGAGGCCCGCCAGCCCCGCGACACCCGCTTCAGGGGCACACGGCACCACAAGATGGGGTCTGCCTCTCACATGTGAGGACAGACAGGACTCGCCCAGCAGGGCCTGTGGCAGGCACCGAGCCACGGCCCCTCCTTCCCAACATCGGACCTCCCGTCCCCTGAGCAGAGTGGCTCCCGTTGGCCCATGTTTGCTGGAGGTGCGGGGGATGCGAGGTGTGCTGGGGACACTGGGAGGGCGACCTTTGTGCCTCCTCCACCCCACCCTACCCCTGAGCTGCGAGGCCCAGGTGAGGCCAGGAGGACCTGTCTGCTGGGCAGTGCCCCACAGCCCACGGGCCCAGGCAGGGACCTGGTGACGCGCAGGGCATCCCAGGCTGCACCTGGGAGCCAGGGCACAAGTGAGCCTTTGTCACGGAGCCCGCGCACTCCACGTGGCCTGCCTGGAGAAAGCCCTGGCAATGTGGCTCTGGGCCTACGGATTCAGTTAAAAACTCTGAGAAACACTTGAAAATGCGGCGCCAAAACGAGGAAGGCGGAGGCGGGTTACAGACAGACCACTGAGGAGGGCTGGGGCGCTCGCTGCAGCAGTGCGCAACGGGGACAAGGAGGGAGGGGCTCGCAGCTGTGAGAGGCCCAGAGCAGCAGGTGTGGCTGCAGGAGTGGGCCCTGGAGGCCACCTCTGGGGGAGGCCACGCCACAACCGCCAGGGAAGGCCCAGGGAAGGGGAAGCCTTTGTCCCTTCTGCTTTGCTGGAAAGCAGCCACAGCGGCCCCCAGAGAACACAAGACCCCCCCTTCTTCTCAGCCCTCAAAGCTGCTGTCAAACAGGGCAGACTCTCAAGAAGCAGGGGTCTGATCCTGGGGGGACCAGGTAGAAGTGGTCCTTCTTCTGGTTCACACTGCAGGGAGGAGCCCAGTCACCCCGAGTAAGACCTGGAGGGGCCTCAGAGAAGGGCCCAGCTCTGTGCAGGAAGCTGCCTTGTCTCTGCCAGGGCCATCCACTATGGATGGCAGAGTCCACGCCTCAGCATGCAGCCAGGTCCCCGCAGCACACCTGGCCTCCGGGAGGCCTGACACTGCCCCAGGAGAGCCAGCAGGGGCAGACCCCACCTCACAGGAGAAGGTCCCGCTCAGGGGTCAGAGTGCCAGGGCACACCACATTTGCAAAAGTGCCGATCTACCCTGCTGCCCAGGAACTGCCACACTGCAGCCATACCCAGAGGTCCCTTGCCAGCCTCCCACGTCTGGGAGGACCCAGATCCTGTGGAGGCCTGCCCACATCCAAGAGGGCTCACGCAAGGCCCTTCCGAAAACCCTGCGGGGGAAGGGCCCAACGGCAGTGCCCAGCAGGTCACCAGGTGGGAGATGTGCTCGAGGCGGCAGGCAGAACCAGCACAAAAGGGGGAGACCCAAACTAGGATCTGAGCAGTGAGGGTGCGGCACGACGCACACCAGGGTCAGGCTCCCAGCTGCACCCACGTGGCCGAGGGGACACCTGTCAGTGAGCAGAGCCGAGTGAGCAGGGGCGGCAACGGGCCAAAGACAAGGCCACGGCCCTCACGGTGCCAGGCTGGCACCCCAGCCAGCTGCGGCGCCTGGCATCCAACAGACCAGCACAGCTCACTGGCTCCGAGCACAGCGGCGAGACAGCGCTCGGCTCACCAAGAGCAGACGCCCTTCAGCCGATTCACACAGCCACGGACACGGCAGGGCCAGCAGAATGAGGGCGCAGGTTCGTGAACGGCCGAGGGTTTCTCCGGTCAGCGACGCCCTGTGGGAGCTTCTCCCAGATGGGACACCTGTAACTCCACGTCCTGCCACGGCCAGGAGCCAAGGACAGGGCTCCTCCTGAGGCCACATGGGGTCCTTTCTCAACAGGATGGTGACACTCCTGTTTCTGCACCTCCAGCTAGGAGCTAGGCTGGAGACGAACATCACCAGGAGCAGGAGACCCCCAAAAGTAGAGGCTAAGCTCTCTCAGCAGCAAGAGACCACAAGGCAGGCCCCCCTTACCAGGACCCCACGTCGCCCCGGCTGTCCGTGGTGTAGTCGCTCATGCAGTCCAGGAGTGTGCTGTACACCTGGGTGACGTTCTCTCTGCACACAGCTTCATCCGGGGGCCCCTCTGCTTTCACACCGACGGTCTGGCAAATTCTGAAATGAAGACCAGCCATGTGCCCACAAGAGCTGTGGCCCAGTCCTTCCCGTCACAATGGCCTGATGAGCCTTCCTGAGCAGGCAGCGCAGAGAGGCCTCAGCCTCGTGAGGGGAAGCACAGTGCTCAGCCGTGAGGCTGGACCACCGTCCTCCCACTGTCCACCCTGGCTCAGCATCGGAGGGGCCATGGGTCCACAGCTGTGGAGGACAGAGGGAAGGCAGGCACTGCAGCCTCAAGCTGTGGGCCTTGAGCAGAGCCATTCCCACTCCCCGCCTTCCCCAGGTGCTCTGTGCTGGGGGTGATCCCAGGCCCGGCACATGCCGGGCAACTGCCCCACAGCCCAGAGGGGCCACGATCTGGTCACAGACACTGGCCTGGGCCTCACTCCCCAGATCCCAGATGGAGGCTGACCGCAGGATGGCCCAGCAATCACCGCGGCAGCTGTCCCTGGCCCCCAGAACTGGAAATGTGCTCTGCAGGGGAAGAACTCAGAATGCCAGAGTGAGGCCCTGAGCAGACCGAGGTCCCCAGCATGTCCGCCTGGCTGCTGGTCTGCGGCTCACCTCGCAATGGCCTTCAGAGCGTCCCTCCTGGCCTCGGCAAAGCTCACGTCCTTGGGAGAGGAGCGGGTGACTGCCATCAGGCCTGTGAGCACCTGAGGGCAACAGAAGCCTCAGCCACAACGCATGGCCTCCAAGGCCAACGGCCGGCCAGCGGAGGGGTGGCTGCAGCAGGACCGCCTCCCGCGCAGCTGGGAGACTCGACCCTCTCAGCTCAGCTTAGGAAGAACGCGGGGGCGCCCCCAGCTCTCCCAGCTGCCAAGCCCTGACCCTGGCAACCACATGGCCTCCACAGCCTGGCACGGTCTCTGCTGCTCCAGCCTGGGACTGAGATGGTGCAGCTGCTGGCTCCTGCCGGCTGAACCTCACCCACCATGGTGCCAATTCAAGCCTAACAACTGCTTCCGTCTCTAGGTCAGATAAACCCCAGGATGAGGGTCTAGCCATGTGGCAGTGACAGGGCCTGTCCTGCAGGTAGAGAGGCCGCCTGAAGCTTGGGCCCCAGGGCACGCAGGAGGGAGCACGGCAGGTGGGCACGGACACATGGCCCTGGGGGGTGTGGGGATGGGACACAGGAGCCAGCAGGTGTGTCACCTGGGGAGGAAGTGCACGAGTTGCGTGGGCTGAGGCCGCTGGGGCAGGCGGAACCTGCAGCCATGCTCGGACCCTCCCAGGGAGAGGACTAGGCAGGGTGTTGGGAGGGGCAACGTGACCACACGAGGGAAGAGGACACTGAGGGGGATGGCCAGCACCGGAGGCTGGGGCAAGGGTCTGGCAACAGCCCCAGGGGCAGGCATCGGATGCACCTGGGCCTTTCTGCCTGAGGCTCACGCAGGTAACTGAGGCACAAGAGGCTCTCGGCCTTCGAGATCGTGGGAGCTCGACGGGGTGCCAGCGAGCCCAGCACCCTAACAGGGCAGAGCGCGGCTGCACCCCACACAGGCTGCCACCACCTTGAGGTGTGGTGAGATCCCCAAAGGAAGCAGAGCCCCCACGAGCCACCTGCGCTTCCCAGAGGCAGGGCAGCTTCTGCCCCCACCCAGCCCTGCCATGGCCAGAGGGGGCGGGGCACAGGCAAGGCCCAGGCCCCAGGCCCATCCTGCAGGGACCACACACGCAGCGCCTGCCCCTGGCAGCATGCCCTGCGCGATGGCCGCCCTCCCACTCCTACTTGGCGGTCTCACCTGCTGCAGCTGGCCTCTCAGGAGGAAGGCTGGGAGGGCGCCGAGGGCCGAGGAGAAGCCACAGCGGGCCATCTCCTCGGGGCCGCGCAGCTCCGCCAGGTACTGCGGGATCAGCGCCTCTGCAGGAGGAACGAGCGTGAGGACGCTCGCGAGCTCCACCCTTCCACAGGCCGGCGCCCCACAGGTGGCCTCAAGGCTTGAGAGCGCCCGAGGCCCGTGAGGCAGGTAGGAAGGCCGTCAGGAGGGCTGTGAGCACGGCCCAGGAGCCATGACCCTCCGTTTTTATTTGCCAGGAATAGAGATGCACTGTGGGAAGGACGTCCCTCACAGGCGCGAGGGTTCCTTCAGAGCCCGCAGCACACCCAGGGCTGAGGCACCGTCCCAGAGATGCTCCGCGAGCGGGCTGCCGGCGGGGGAGGGGAGAGAGCTCTGCCTGGGGCATCCGGCCACTTACCCTGAGCTTCGGGACAGGCCTCGCCTGGCTCCTTCACGTAGTATTCACAGCAGAGCGCGGCCAGGGCTGTGACGGCGGCATCCTAGAACAGACAGGGCCCCACCTGAGCAGCCCTCACCACAGTGTCCAGGCACAGGGCTGTGCAAAGCCCACAGAGCCCCTGGCTGCTGCGGCCTGCTGCTCGATGGCCAGTGATTCTCCGGCTGGTGGAAGACGCAGCTGCTTCCTGCACACAAGCCAGTCCGCCGTCTCCCACGGCTCACCCAGTCGTCTTCCCTCCCAGCCGCAGTGATGCAGGCGTGGACTCCTTTCCAGGAGAGCCAGAGCAGTACGTCAGAACAGGAGGGGTGCTGGGCAAGGGGACACAGCTGTGCTGCACAAGCCCCTCAGAAACCAGCGCCAGGGCCACCAGGGGCTGCCATGTAGGACAGTCAAGCCACCCAGAACACAGGCTGGGCGGGTGGCCACGGAGCGTCCACCAGAGTCCACCAGCACCTGACTGCTGCTGGGTGGGCCAGGTCAGACAACACTGAGGCACAGTGAGCTGCAGCACTCAAGCCCCACCAGCAAGACCGCTCGGCCCTGCAGAATTTAAGGAACAAGAGAAAACAGGTGCATCCTGCTAGCAATGTTGGACACGGGGAGGCTGCAGGTCACAAGGGACAGCGACACAGCCCACTCCCATCCTCAGTAACAAGAGCTCGCCAGCCACACACCCACGGCCCAGCCCTAGGACACGGCTGGGACGCAGATACTCTCCACAAAACCCTCTGGCAGGTCTGCACCAGCCTCCTGGTCTGCACACGGGCACCCTAAGCAGTCTCCACACCTGAACGACACAGCCCACCAGAAGGCAGGATCCACCCGAGCAGTTACTGTCAGGCTCAGGACAATTTTTGAAGGCAAGTGTCATCAGCAGGGACAGAAACACCAAGAAAAAGATGACGTTCTGGTAGCTAACAGCCACATTCCACGTCTTGTCATAAGTGACACAGAGAGCACTGGAACCCCAAGCCTGGCGACAGGTGAGTCCCCCTCACACCAGAACACCTCCAGGCAATGACTCGCGCTGCCTTCCCCGCAGGGTGACGGGCCTGGCCAGCGTACCTTGATCTGCTGTCTGGCCTGGCTGGAAATGAGGTGAAGACTTCTCAGGGTGTCATCGATCAGCCACTGCCAGCCACCTGTTGAGGCCACAGACACCGATGACCTGTGAGCAGCAGCACCCACAAGCCAAGTCCTTGGGAGGTAGGGTCTGGGAGGAGCCCAAGCCACCTGCAGTGACCTGCAGGCTGCAGAGGCCCCCGCCCAAGGCTGTAGAACAGGGGACTCTACCTGGGAACCCTGCCCTTGCCAGCGAGGCTGCAGGTGCCTTGTGTCTCTTCCTCAAGGAACCGCCACCCACACAAACCTAAGCACTCAGCCCAGCTACACCCAGGGAGCTGGGGCAACAAACGCTTTTCTATTCAGCCAGAAAAACAGCGGAAACCAGGACTGCCAGGCCTGCCAGCCAGGGCCAGGCCAGGAGCCCCAGGAGGCACCTGGCGGCGGCCCCCAGTCTATGGGGGTGGCAGAGGTGGCACGAGTTCGAGACAGGGACTCCAGAATCAGAACCTTCCCACTGCGGCCCTTTGACATCTGTCCCAGCCCCTCCTCACGGTGACCTGAAGCAGCCACGGGAGAAAACGTTCTCATGCCTCCCGTTGGGAAGAAATGCACTCACCGACCACGGAGTCACCTCTGAAGGGCATTCTGGAAAGCGACAGCTTCTCCACCAAAACACACACTAGAAAGGAGCACAGAGCTGCGTCACCTGCCCAACCCCCCAGCCTGACTGTCCTCTACCTGGTCACTTAGTGCACAGAGCTCCCCACCCACTGGGCAGCCCCCAGGAGGCCATAGTGACCTCTGCAGCTGGGTGGCTGGGCACATAAGCTCGGGGTTCCCAGGGGAGGGATGTGTGCGCTGGGAACCCAGCCGCACCAGCGCGCTCCCCAAGCAGGAGGCAGCTATTCTGCACCCCAACACGGGCCCCCAGGGCACAACCTAGGGTGGACACACAGTTCAGAGGACTCCAGTGGGAAAGGCCATCAGCAGGGACTGGAGCAGTGCCAGGCACCTGACACTCCTGAGCTAGAACCATCTCCAAGACAGAAGATGTGCTCCTGCAGGGGTGCACACTCCCCGGCAGAGAGGCAAGGGAAAACACCTGGGCACGCAGGGCGGGTGGTGAGCACCAGGGGCGCGGGGAGTCGGGGCGAGCACCCCCACTGTATCTCTGCAGAGACACAGCGAGGTCGAGGCCAGGAGCACAAATGGAGTGCCATGCCAGGACGCCTGTTTCAAGAGTCAAAGGTGAGGCACCACCTCAAGGACCAACACCTGAGTACTGTGGCGGGGCTGCAAGAGCAGAGCAGGTCCAGCTCACTCACAGCAGGCTGGGCACTGACCTGTGGGAAACAGCTGAGGTGCTGGATGGGCACAGTATGGGGCTGCTACTCAACTCTCCACCTAAAACACGTCTGCGCCAAGGACAGAACAGCTCACTGCCCAACTGCACTGACTCTGGCAGGCAGAGCCGCCTCACCTGGACAGAAGCAGCTCAGAACACAGACTCTGGTTTCAGGAAGCTATGTCTCGCTGGTCTTCTCTCCTGCCACCGCCTGAGCTCCTCCCACCCCAAAATGGGTTTTGGTCTGTGCCCTCACGGCTCCCCAGGGCAGGCCGGGCCGTAAGGAGTCGCTGAGCCAGCCTCCTTACTGTGCTCCACACCAGCTCCCCTCGGCCTCCCTGGGGGAATTTTGGTATGAGGCACCTGGGTGCGACTGGTTCTCCACCCTGCACTCGGCGCAGGGCAGTGGACATGCACATCACCCCACAGACCCTCCAAGTGTGATTTCACTTGGAGACCAAGAAGCCAGAAGCTCCCATGGGCAGCAGCAGTCAGCACAAGGCATGGCGTGGGTCACTGTGCCCGATGAAGGCACCGCTTTTCAAACTGCTCCTGGGACCTTAGCTATTCAGCCAACAGCACCATGTCCGTCCCCTCCTACAACCGGACTGCAAGCACAACCTGCCACTGCCCACCAGATGATACCCAGGACCGACAGCAGCCCTGCCTGGGAACGCAGCCTGCCTAGGGGACCAGCCCACCTTCTGCCTACAGAACCCACATCCTTCCGTATAGCCTCTGAGGGGCCACCATAGGCTACAGGGGGCAACCTCTTGGCCAGGGCAGCCATAGCCGACCCTGGGCCACCGTCCAGGCCTGCAGGCAGCTTAAAGATGGCGCTGAGGGTTCAGACCCATCCAATGCTGAGAGTGGCAATCCAACATGGGCCACATCTGGGACACCTGCACCTGCTCACCAGCCCCACCCGGTGGCTCCCCACACACCTCGGTGACCAGGATGGACAGGGCACTGGGGATCAGTACCAGGAGCATGCCCAGGTCAGCTAGTAAGCAGCTGGGCTTCAGGAAACAGATGGTCCTGTACTGTGTTCTATGAGCTCCCTGCAGACATGCAAACTGGTCTAAAACTCACCCTCTGCTCTACAGCCACATTTAAATGAATACTGTACCGAAGAAAAGAATGCCGGCCACAAACCTGAGATCAGCCCTCAGCTCCCCACGTCCTCCCCCTGGCTACCACCACTGGCCACCACCACTCAGGCTAGGAGCAAGCTGCGCCCGGGGGCAGCTCAGGGGAGCTAGGCAGCACCTGTCACCAACGTGCCACCCAGCAAGCGCCTGGGACCACCCAGCACCTGGGCCACCGAAGGCCTAGTGGGATGCTGCTGCCCAGGGAGCGAGGTGAAGGCCATGAACATGTCCCCTCCACGGCCAAGGGCTGCAGCCTCCGCCCTCACACCTACCTGCTTGCCTCATGAGCTCTCCTCCCAGACCCCTGGAAGTCAAGAGAACACTCAGTTAGGCCCTTCCCGCACACCCAGGGCCCTCACCAGGCGCCACCGACTCAGGCGCTCAGCACACTCAGACGCTGACCAGTCAGCACGGTACTGAGGAAGGGCCCCCCGACAGGAAGGAAACGAAAAGGCCAAGACCATCTTCCATGGCCTCCCCTCAGGGCCGGGCTGTTCTGACTGAGCTTCCACTGGACACTCGGTCCTTCCTGGGCCACCACGTCACATGGCCACACAGGGCAGGCCGAGCACTGTCGACTCTCGGTCACAAGCAGGCCTAACACTGTCACGTAGCTCAGAGAAGGGGTGCGCTGGAGTTCTGTCCCCAGCACCCCAGGAAGAGCAGCACTGGGACTGCAGTGTGCCCAGGCCCAGGACCTGGCAGGGCTGGGGCAGGCAGGACCTGGCAGGGCTGACAGGGCCTTCCAAGACCTCGCCAGGAAGAAAGGCCGGAAGCAGAGAGAACTGTGAGACATGACAGGAGCCGGTTCTGAGGGCTCCCAGGGTGGAACGTGGGCGGACCTGGGTCCCTGGAGGGTGGGCACCCACAACCTCCCTTTCCACTCCCTGAAGGCAGGAAGGGAGGCCCAGCCTGCAGAGCACAGGAGAGCAGCACGGTGCTCACCACCCACCCGAGGGGCATCAGCGGCCAGGTGCTGTGCCTGCCCCCAGCTCAGGTCCAGAACACGACCCGAGCCGACAGCTCAAGGAGACAGGGACAGAAACCACGGCCTGAACCGAAGTCTGAACAGAGGGGCTGAGAGCGTGGGCTCAGCACCTAAGTCTCTGGGTGCGGGTGGCCTCTGCAGAAAGCTGCGTGAGTCCTGGAGGCACACCCAAGCCCATGGCCCAGCAAGGCCACTCCTGGTAGCCACCCAGGCACCCCAAGACAAGCCCCGCCTGGAGAGGGCTGAAGCCACAGCGCAGGCGCACAGCAGAGGCTCTTGGCAGCCAGGGGGAACCCAGGGCAGCACACGCAGCTCAGCTGAAGCTCAGAACCACGCGAGCCCATCTGAACGAGATCAGAAGGCCAGAGCCCAGGGACTCAGGAAAGGTGCCGGCAAGCTGCTGGCCTCTGCAGCCAGGAGCCCCCCCGCCTCCCTGGGACCAGGAAGTGCCCAGAGTGCAGAGGCGCCACGTGAGCTCACCTGTACAGCTGCCGCTCCCAGAGCTGCAGAGAGAGAGGGAAGTCAGTTCTCAGAAGCAGCACTGTGCGGTGACCAGCGACACCAGGGCCTCACGGTGCAGAGCCGGCAGGGCGGGCGCCAGCTCAGGGCCCACCTTGCTGTCTGCCGGCCCCACGCTGCTCTTTGGGGGCTGTCACAGAAGGAAAACTGAAGGCCAAAGAGGAAGGCCACCCATCGAGAGAGCCAGGCAGCGGTGTCCTGTCTCGGGTGAGAACTGACACCCCCTGGGAGCCGCTCAGGAAGGAACTCATGCCCATGGGACTCTGCCGCTCCTCTGCCAAGAAGCCTGAGAGACTTCAGAACACCGGTCACCCTTGGCCAAACCTGACCCAGCGTCCCAATGTGGAAGGAGCTCCACTCGGCTCTCCAAAAGCCCGAATCCTCGCAAAAACTGGAAGTCCTGTGAGGACTTACGATCCACAGGACACAGAACCGGCTCAGAGGCCACAGGAACTGTTCCTCAGCCACCGTGCTGGGCCAGTTCTGGTGTGACCAACGCGGGACATGCGTGCCAGGCTTCCCTTAGGTGAGAAACGCAAGCCAGGGGCACAAACAGGAAGGATCCGGAACCCAAGGCCCCTGTTCCACAAGTGCGGAAAACGCCACATGGAACAGAAACGGCCCACGACTCCGGCCCTTGGGAGCAACGTGCAGTCTGGAAGCACCAGGTCTGCAGCTCTTCTTTGCCCAGAGAAACACACTGCTCCCCAGAAAAACATGTGGCCACAACCTTGGGTTCAGTTTCAGCTGTCTGAAACGCACAGGTGGAAACCAAGGTCTCTGAGCCACAGGTGGCCCCACCTGGCCCAGGACAGAGGGACTCCACAGTGGGGCAGTGGCGGAAACCGGCCCAGTTCTACCCACCTAAGTGTGCCACACAACCCCTGAAAACCTCTGGCCACACAAGCAGGGTCCTGGCACCCACATCCTTTCCCAGAGGAAGAGAGCCCACCACGGTCACCCACCCCCACCGCACAGGCTCAGCCAAGGGCACACTTAGGGGCCACACAAACCTGCTGGTGAATCTGCCTCAGGCCTTGCACCACGTTCTCCTCCAGATAGTCTGTGACGGGCCTGCAAAAGGTCAGACGCAGTGCTGAGGCCACAAGGACCCAGCCGAGAGCCGGCGCCCCTGCTCAGGCCCCAGCAGCCCTCCTGTCACACCAAGCAGAGGGCATGGCAGGCTCCCCTCGCTCTCTAAGGTACAGTTAGCCGAGGACATTGTGTCCTGCGTTAGGACAGAAAGAGCATGCTGAGAGCCAGGCCCCACCGCCACATGACCACCCTAGAAGCAGGAGGCCGGGTAGAGCTGAGAAGAGCTCACAGGCAGCCCTGTGGCCTCAGGAGGGCCGGCGGCAAGGCTGGCCCTTGCTGGCTTCTGGGAACAGGGACTCCAACAGGGCTCCCTGGGCCCCATGTGTGAGGGTGCCTGTGGGTGCACACAGCGGGGCCTGCACAGGCACCCACCTCCCCCAGGCTCTGCACTGGGCACCGGCTGGCCCCAGTGAACACCCATGTGCTTTGCTGGGACTACGCCCCACCTGTGTGGCCACAACGTGCTGCTACAGGTGGCCTGTGCCCTGTGCCCTCCAGGCAGCAGCAACCTGGCTTTGCCCTGTGCCTGTTCCCACACCCGCTGCCACCTCAGCACTCAGACCCCAGGGCCGGGAGCCCATGCCCTCGAGCAGATATCCACAGCTCCCTCCAGGCCAGTGGGACAGGAGCGGGGTCCACGTCTGCATCCACTCCCGGCCTGCCAAGGAATCGTCTCATCCATGTGAAGCGGCTGCAGGCAGCTTTCTCCAAGCAGAGCGCGAGCCAGGTCAGAGACAGGCATCGCGTGCGCCCAGGCTTCACTTCTGAGAAGAGCAACTCCCGGGGCTCATGTCCGCGCGCCCCTCACCTCCCTACTTTTCCCACTGCTGTCATTCCCACAAACGTGACCGGGAGAGCTTTCAGAGCATATTCTCGAGAACCAGATTATTAAAAGGGATCACTAAAAGTGAAACAAATAAGAAAATGAACAGGGGCCAGGCACTGTGGTGCACACCTGGAATCCCTGCACCTCGGGAGGCTGAGGCAGGAGGATCCCAAGTGCAAGGCCAGCCTCAGGAACTTAGTGAAGCTCTACCTCAAAATAAAAAAGGGCGGCTGGGGTTGGGGCTCAATGGTAGAGCGCTTGCCTAGCACGTGTGAGGCTCTGGGTTTGATTCTCAGCACCACATATAAATAAATTAAATCCAGGTCTATTGACAAGTAAAAAATAGACTTAGAAAAAAAATTAAAAAGAGGCTGTGGGTGTGGTTGAGTGGTCAGCCACCCCCTGGGTTTAACCTGCAGTACCCACAGGAAAAACAAAGTGCAGGACTGAGCAATGCTCCTTGGAGAGGTGAATATCCCCATCACCCACCTGGCTGGCTCCAGGACCCTGGTGGCTGCTAAGCCCTGGTCAGGAGGGTGGGTGGTCCCAACCACTGACAGCCCCCAAAACAGAACGTGGGAATCTGATGACCTCAACTGTCCCAAGGAAAGCCAAAGTGCTGCTCCCTGCCCAGGCCACCGCGACCACGGCACACATGGGTGGCATCCTACCTGTCCCTCTGCACCGCCAGCTTGAACAGGGCATAGGTGACCTCCGCGCAGGCGAGAATGGCTCCGTGCCGCGTGTGCAGGTCTGAGCTCAGCGCCATCGACAACAGGCCTGGGAGCACTGGGGGACGGGCAGCAGACAGCGCGTCAGAGGAGGCCCGTCCCCTCGAGTCCCTCCCATGGCAGCTATGTGACAGGACAGCACAGGCCACACAGTAGGTGCAACCTCTAGGCAGGGGACCCTCCCGGGCTCACGAGGGGGCCTTGGCACAGGCGTCCCACCCACAGCACAGCAGCTGACATGGGAGGAGGGGAAGGAAGGAGCAGGACAGGCAGGCCCTGCTGCGGCGCTCCCGGTCCGCTCCCGGCTGGCCAGGACGCCGCAGGGTTGCCAGGGGCCGGCGGGGCCGGCGGGGCCAGCGGGCGAGGCCTAGGGGCTCGGAGGGCACCAGGCAGCGCTGCTCGTGTTTTCTCAGCTCCACGGTGGCCCAGGGAGAAGGCAGGGCTTCTCGTACCCTGACCACACCCGCGAGTTGCCCCACCTTAGCTCAGTGACCCCATGTGTACCGCTGGGACGTCACCAGCCTGCAACAGCATCAGGATCAGAGAAGAGGCCCATGGCACTCAGCTGGCGCTGGGAGCAGCTGGCTTTGCTGGAGGCCAGTGCACCCCACGGGAGAAGGGCTGAGCCCCTGCTTGTTCAGGGTGGGGGTGGGGATGGGCAGGCCCACACTGAACTCTGACACCCAGGTGTAACTACCAGATCGTGACACCGCATGTCCCTGAGGAGCCACCCAGCACCGACCTTCAGGACCTGCCGCGCTCAGCCCTTGTGAAATAGGTAACTCCCGGTCGAGTGTCACCCTGACTTCCAACACAGTCACCGGGACAAGTGCCGGGGGAGCAGGGAAAACCCCAGGAACTCTGCCCAGGAAGTGCCGCCAACGTGCCTCCCAGGGCCTCCGGCTGGGCAGCTCCAGCTCCCAGGGCCAGGCCCGACCCCACAGGGAGCCCAATTCAGCGGGCCCAGCCACAGCTCCCGGCAGACACGCCCAGCTGCCGTCCCCGCTCTCCTGCCCCATCAAGCCCACATGTTCTCCAGACATCTCTCTGCAAGGGAGGCTCAGGACGGGGTCTTCCGACGGCCGGAGCACACGCACCCTGAGCGGCACTGTACTCGGGCGCTAGCTGGGCCAGGTTGTGCAGCGCCTTTGCCGACAGCTCTCTGACGTCCCTGGGCAGGGAGGGAGAAACGTCCCATCACCAGAGGTGCCTGCACCCACCACCCGCGGCAGCCCAGGGGTGGGAGTGCCCCAGGTCTGGGAGAGCCCAGACTCCGGCAGGCCCACGGGGCAGGGGCTGCACCTGCTACAGAGACACCCCTACAGCCCACAGCCCCGCCCAGCCGTGCTTCTCCCGCGGTCTCTCACACTGGAAGGGTGGCACCAACAACAGCAGGTATGTAGGAGAGGGACTAAGCTCCCATCCTCTGCCCTTCACACAGCCACCGGCCTGTGCCCAGAGGCTAGGCGTCCAAGCACACTCCAAAAATGAGGGACATCATGACCCAGGGTGACAAAGAATAGCAGGAGTGTGGGTGTCTTACGAGTAGACCCCCCCCCCAGCAGGACCAACAGTGAGCACCAAAGCTGGAAACAAGGAACAATGTCTCAGTGGCTCCACCAGGACTCTGGTCCCACATGCTCACGCTGCTCCACGCTTGCGCCTGGAGAATCCACCCAGGCTCCACCCCACAGCGAGCAGCACCCCACAGCGAGCAGGGACACTGGAATCCCTGCAACCCGGCTACAGGCTCTCACATCAGAGCCCGAGGGGGAGGGACGGTCAACAGAGACTTCACGCTGGACGAAGGTGCCCCACTGTGGAGCCTACCCAGGCCGGGCAGAGCCACACAGCATGACTGTGTCCACCAGCATCAGGCAGCAGTGAAGAATTTGAGGTCCCTGGAGGGGCTGAAGACTGGCCCATCCTGAAACGGGGCTGCCAACTGACCCCTGAAGAAGCCGCTCACGACCTGGGCAGTGCTGTGCTTCAGGCCCAGGTCTGCATCTCCCCCGAGAAGCCCAAGCTGGTGGCCGCAGCACTGGTGCTCACCTCTCGCCCGGGAAGACCACGACGGGCACGGCAGCTACTGTAACTACAGAACAGCCGCCCGCACCTGCTGGGCTTTCCCGAGAGCAGCAGGGGCCGCCCAGAGAGGCAGAGCACGTGGGGTGCAGGAGATGAGGCTGCTCAGCAGCCACAGGAAGCAGCTCCCCAGGACAGAGCAGTGACCCTGCACCAGGCATGGGGACTGCAGTCTGCACCCCTTCCCAGCCTGCTTTAAATCAGGACATCTGTGAGAGCAGGGGCTCAAGCCACCCACGCTCGACCCACGCTCGCCCCACGCTCGCCCCACGCTCGCCCCACGCTCGCCCCACGCTCGCCCCACGCTCGCCCCACGCTCGCCCCACGCTCCACCCACGCGCGACCCACACTCTCACAGCGACAGGCCGGAACATACCCGTCCCAGTGGCAGATCTTCATGGCAACCAGGTGGTCTATCATCGGCCGTGTGTACTCGGGGAAGCCAGCAATAAACACGCTGAAAGAGACAAGAGGAGGGTGAGCAGGGCGCAGGATCCTGAGCCTCACCCACGGCTCACGGGGATGCAAACCGGCCACCGGCTTTCAGAGCCCAGCAGCCCCTGCCTAGCAGCCGCCGAGAAAGAAGAGCATCCATCCACAGACCGCGCAGGACCACAAGGGACCAGGAGGACTGAAGCCGCCCCGGGCAGCGCGGCCCGTCAGCAGGCAGCAGGAGCTTCGACAGGACACAGGACCCTGAGAGCTGAGCCAGGAAGAGGCCGGCACCGCGAGTCCTGTGACTCCAGTCTGCCCACAGCACACCACGTGACACGGGCCTCCCGGGCTGCAGTGTGCGCACCATGTGCCCACTGACGGCCCAGGGTGCCCGCCTACATCACACCACAAGCTGTGTGCGGCAGGTGATGCCTGTCCGTCACCCTTCAGGAAAGCTGCGGAGTGTGTCGCGAAGGGCAAAGGGCGAGCCACGGGCAGGTGAAGAGACAAAGGGTTGTGTCAGAGACAAAGAGGAAGCGAGACCGAGTAAGGAGCTGGCCTCCATCTGCACAGGAACGTCCCTCCCCAGAGAGGCCAACAAGGCAGAGAAGGTGGGGAGCAGAGGCAGCCCCCACCCACCAGATAGGGACCCTCCAAAGATGGAGAGACCCCAAGAGTCAGCAGAGAACAGACCTGCAGATGGCCCTGCTGGGAAAGAACCCCAGGGTCACTGTTGGGAGCTGCATGGAACAGTGCCAAAACTTCAAATCACGGCACCACCTCCTCCTCACCGAGGGCAGTCACGGCACCGCAGGACCCTGGCCATGCAGAGACCTGGCCACTGTGCTAAGCAGAAGAACCTGCACACTAACAATCATGCTCCTTCTTTTTTTTTTTTTTTTAATTTCTTTATTTGGCTGGAATGTACCTGGCTTATCTTTTTTTTTTTTTTTAATATTTATTTATTTAGTTAGTTTTCGGCAGACACAACATCTTTGTTGGTATGTGGCGCTGAGGATCGAACCCGGGCCGCACACATGCCAGGCGAGCGCGCTACCGCTTGAGCCACATCCCCAGCCCCGATCATGCTCCTTCTGACTGCACTTCTAGCACATTCCACACAGGTGTGGCTGACCCAGCGGCAGAGTCTGGGCTGGCAGGATGCGCTGCTGCCGCACAGGTGCAAGTCTCTGGTGAGCACAGCGCGCACACGTGCTGATCTGCGCCCTGCACACACATTGTGTCCTCACAAGAGCTCCAGGCCGGGTGCGGCTTGGCGGTAGGGCGCTTGCCTGGCGTGCTCGAGCCCCGGCTCCAGCCCCAGCATCACCAAGAAAGCAACCAACGGAAGAGAACAACATGAAGCTGCACCGCTCGGCAACAACACGGGGCAACTGCAGAACAACCCCAAGTGGGGCAGGCCCTTCAATCACTTCTCAGACCCCAGAGTCACACAGGAGGAAGGTGGAAGGCCGGCGCAGTGGCGCACCAGCGACCCAGGAGGCTGAGGCAGGAAGCTGAGGTCCTGTCTCAAGGTAAGTGATTAAAAGTCTAAGGAGGACATAGCTCAGTGGTGCAGCACCCCAGGACTGGAGGAGGAGAAGCAAGAGGAGAAAGATAAAGGAAAAACTGACGCAAACAGAACCTCCAAGAAAAACTGCTGCTAGGAAAAGCACACCAAAAACAGCTGAGACACACAGCAGACCAGAAAGACCCCGCAGGTGGCACCGCCAGAGACGCACTGGAAACAGAAAAGGACACATGCTGGCAAGGGGAGACCCGAGGGCCAACAGGGCAGTCAACGAAGCCACCTCGGTGCCATCCAGGGTCCAGCAGGCAGGGAACTCTGAGGCACCAACAGCCCCTGGCAGGCAGCTCCACTCAGCAGTGATTTCAGACGTGGTCCCCACCAGGCAGCCACTGCACAATGCATACGACCAAAGGACAAGACACAACCCGGGCCCGCAGAGCCACACCTGGTCCAGCTCGCGCAGACAGGGACCAGATCTGGTCAGGTTAGGGCCCGCCAGCGCCCAACAGAGCCCAAGCTGCCTCCGCTCACAACCTTCCCAGAACACACAGGAACCCAACAGGACCCCAGGGGAACCTGTGGACAATCCCGCGAACTGTCCCCAGGGTGCTCCAAGAGGCCACAGGCACGCAGGGCAGGGCAGACAGCACCTGGGTCCACACACATTCCAGAGAGGCAGGCCAATGACCATCACCCGTCAGAGGAAGAAGGTGGAACCAGATGGCCTGGTTCTAGTCCCAGCACCAAAGCCAGGGAGTCCTCTGACCATGGCCACCCGAGTCCAGGGGAACCAAGGAAAGTGTTGCAGAATGCCAAAGGAGGGGCAGGGACACACACAGGAGGAGGTGAGGACACCGCAGACAGAGCAGGAGGTGAGGACGCAGGTGTGGAGGATGGGACGGGAGACGGGTGGGAAAAGGAAGCAGTGGGTCCAGGCAGGTGTAGCAGGGGGACGCAGCAGGCAGCAGGTGGTAAAGGAGGGCCAAGCAGAAGGGTCAGGCCTGCAGGGGAGAAGGCAGAAGGCTGCTGCAGACGTCCAGGATAAGGCTGCGGTCAGCTCGGTGGAGAGGCAAGCAGAACAGGCACATCTGGCCTCGAAGGGATGCGGAAGTGGTGAGTCCGGTCTGATCAGTATGGGGCTAGCAAGGAGCAAGGGTGAGTGGCCATGGCAGGTCTGGAAGAGGCACAGGTGACATTAGTGAGCTAGGAGACAGTCCACTTGGAGGCCACCTTGATCCATGAGAAACTAGAAGGCAGGCGACTGAAAACCGACCAGGACGAGATCTGACGCTGTTCAAGGCTGCAGATGCGGAAGTCGAGGAGACTCCCAAGAGCAGGAGGTCACCCCAGAGCAGGCCATGACTTGGCTGCAGAAGAGCAGCAGCACTCGGACACGCAGCTGTGCTCACCCAAGTCCCTCAACCCTGGCGGAGGAGGACCATGGCTCAGTGACGAGCCACTGGATCCTGTGAGCTCAGGACGGAGAAGCCGGAGTAGGCGGCCAAGGCCGAGAAGGCAGATGCACACGGCCCGGCCGGGTGCTGCAGGCAGGCCACCCCAGGAAGCAGCAGTGCGCAGCCTCCTCCCTCGCCCACCCTCCACTCCTGTGCACATGTGGCACTGCAGTCTCACGGGACGAAACTACGTGTGCTGAAGCAACTACCAACACAAGGCTTTTGTTTTTTTAAAGGGCTAGGACACTGAAGTGTGCAGGACACTGAAAAGACACCACAGACTGGAGAGAGCAGCTCACCCAGTGAGTGCACAGACAAGCGACGGCTGAATAAGCCTGCAAGGAGAAGTCATTGGGAAAACAAGTCCGGGGCTGCTCCCACTCATCCCCAGCGTGGCCACACTAAAGGCTGGCCACACAGATGCTAGGAGGTGGCCCCACACCCTCAGCCACCACTGCCAGAACACAACACAGTGCACACAGTGAAGCCCGGTCCAGACCCTGCTCCCAGACACTTATCCCAGACAAGTGGACCCGACGTCCACACAGGCGGGCACCAGGAAGCCCGGCTGCAGCCTCACCTGCAACAGCCCCAAACCAGGTGTCCCTTGGCAGTAAGTACACACACAGACCACACGTGTCCTCCCAAGGGAACATGCCTCAAAAGAAAGGGGTAGAGCACCTGCCAGCACCACCATGTGGACTGCACTGAGGGACTGAGCAGAGGCCAGGCAAGTGCAGAGACGAGCTGCCACTTGTGCAGAGCTCTGCGGCTGCTCCCCTGCGTGATGAAACAGGGCAGGGCTGCCTGCTGGGGGCAGGGGACAGGGGCCTTAACGCCTGGCCTGCGGTGACAGATTTTCCCCCACCAGAACTTATCACAGAGGGGTAGGAAGGATAGCAGAATGACTCAGACACCATTACCCTACGTGGGCATATAACGACACGACTGGTGGATTCTACGTCACGTACAACTGGAAGGAGGAGAAGTTACATTCCATCTGTGTATGACGTGTCAAAGTGCATTCTGTCAAGTACAGATGATCAGAACAGATTTTAAATACTAAAAAATGTACTGTTTAAACATACAAATAAACACACTGCTTCTTTGGAAAATACGATACATATTGAAATTGTGGATTTTCACTTTCTCCTTCCATTAAAGATTACTTTTAAAAAAAATTATTTATTTATTTACTTTTTAGGTGTAGATGGACACAATACAATGCCTTTACTTTCATGTGGTGCTGAGGATCGAACCCGGGTCCCGCCCATGCCAGGCGAGTGCTCTACCACTGAGCCACAGTCCCAGCCCCTAAAGATTACTTTTTGTCAAAAAAAAAAAAAAACACATCACAGTGCACAAACTGAGCATGCACACCTGAGATGTGTCACCAGTGCTAACAGGAGAGGACGAATGTCCCTCTGTGCACAGGTCAGAGTGCACACCTCAGCTGTGTCACGAGTGCTGACGGGGGAGGACGAGGACACTGCAATGCATTCGCAGAACCTCATCTGCCCCTCCTAGGGTCTTCGGTTAGCTCCAATTCTGTCCCAGGTAGTAGAAGACCTGAGAACGTAGCCACCAGGTCCTGCATCATTGCGGCCAGAGCTGAGTGCCCGCCTTCCCCAGCATCCACAGGCACCATCTCTCACCTCTTACCCTGCACCTCCCCGCACCCCAACCATGCTCCCTGCCCCGGTGGGCCCCTCTAGGCCCAGCCCCAGAACGCAGCTCTGACCTCCCCGTGGGGTGCAGGCCCCCTGCTCTGCTTCCTGGTGGACACCCTGCGTGAGCTGAGTGCCCACCTGCCGCCCTCGCCCCAGTTCAGGCTGACAGCGGGACCTGGCTGGGGAGGGCATCCTGGTCAAGCGCCCCAGGTGCCTGGGTATGGGTGGAGCCTGCTCCTAGTGCACAGGTGTGTCCCCACAGAGGCTCTGGTCCAGCAACCAGGTCCAGGTATCACCAGGTGAAAACTGGTCGAGGAGGCACGCGGGACCCAGGTCGTTTTCCCAGAATGCACGTGGCCAAGCACCCGTCACTTCTAGGTTTGACGTGGAAACCTGAGTGACAAGTAGCATGTGCCCAGGCTGGATTTAAGTGTCTGTTCCTCGACCCAAGAAAATCAGGGGACAGTGGGCAGCCACTCCATGTCCAAGAGGTGACCAGAAGGGAAACAGGACATGCTAGCACTGGAGAGACGGAGAGTGCTCGGCCCAGATGCCCCTGCAAAGGCTGAGGCCAGCAGTCACCGCTGCAGATCTACAGGGCTGCAAATCAACACTCTGTGCGTGGGATAGCAGGGCTGTCAGGGTCCACCTCTCTCACGTTTCTCCTAACTTCAGGAAACAAACTGCTTCACAAGATCACACTGTTCTTCACGTCAGTAACGGCCTGGCTGACCAACAGGAGGGGACAAGGCCTCCGTGCACAGGTGGGAGTGACAGGTCAGATGCACGGACGCAGACGGCCCGGCTAACCAACTCGGGTCACACAGGTTCTGTGCACCGCACGTTCCTTGACCAGGACTCTCCAGGGCCACCTTCCCACTCATCTGACCAACAATCTGGAGAGATTATTGAGACAGAAACGACCAGCTGCAGGACACAGGGGCTACCATCACAGGGGCCAGGGGGCCCAGAGGCCCAGGGTCAGCTGGCACCTGCAACCTCGTGAAGGGGTGCAGTTGCTCTAGAGCCACCCATGACTCCCCCCACCCCCTCCCAGACCCTCCCAGGACAGGAATGGGCAGCAGAGCCCCCGATTTCACGTCCACACCACAGAAAGCTGCACTTCTGGGATAGGCCTTCAGGACTCACCTTATGACCAGGAAGCAATTTGCTCTGTTCCCAACTGCAAAGTAGTCGGCCGTGGTCACAATATCGATCCCATGAGGAAAAGTGCCCTACGGAGAGTGAGCGGGAAGAAGAACAGTTCTCAGGTCACCTCTGATGCTGCTCTCTGGGGAAACAATGACCTCCAGGTGGGACCACATCCACACTGCCCACCTGCCCACTGCAGCCACCTGACCACCACCCAGGCTGGCCTCCAAGCAGCGCCGACATTCAACTCTGAATCCTACCGAAAGCCTTTCCCTTAGAAAGACGCCAAGTCTCCACAATGCTGGTACGACTGACCCACCCCGGCCAGCACGGTGGCACCCATGGCGAGGCAGGTGCTCCTGCCTCTGCACCCAGACCAGAGCCCAACCTCACATGGCCTCCAATGGTAGGACGGTGACCAGGGAGCCACCACCTGGACCACCCCAGCAGCAAGGAAGGCAGCATGAGCCCTGAGGCCAGATGGAGAGGTGGCACCTCCCCACGCCCTGCGCCCTCTGGCACAGCCCCGCAGTCTGCAGGTCACCTCTGATGCAGGTGACCTCTCTGGGGAAACATTCCAATGTCTGGAAACAACACAAATGATGAAGCCTCGACCGAACGTAGACAGCCTGGCACCGTTGACCACAGAGAGCAGCAGGGAGGCCTCCAAGCACGTGCCGGCCAGGCGGCACCACAAGGCTCCCTTCTCATGCCCAGCAGGTCCTGGCCCAACAGGGGTCTTGACCCGCCACAGAGGAGCCCGAGGCAAGCATAGCCTAAGACAGCAGGCGTCAAGGATCCACACCCCAGCCACCTGCTCCGCACTTTAGGGAGACAGAGGGTCACTGATCACCACCTGCATCCAAGCTCCTCAGGACACATGCCACAGGGATGCACCTGCAGCCAGCGCCAGGCACTGGACACTGAGGAATGCGATCTGAGATGTGAGGCGCCATGAATACGGGCTATTTATCACTATGGAAACCCCCTACAGCAGTGCCCTGCTTCTCAGGCTCCAGGGAGGCCACAGGGCAAGGACACCAGACATCGGCCATCCGCAGTCCCAGGGACAGGGAGGGCATCTGGCCCACAGGAACAGCTGCTCCTCCACACGGCCACCGTCAAGACCCTGCACTACCTTCCACACCATCACTGCTGCCTGGCACCTGGTCCTCAAAGCCCACGTCTCTGAGAACTGGGCAAACAGGCTTGAACAACAGCCCAGCCAGCCTCCCTGCGGGGAGCAGGCAGGCCGGCAACCTGAGCTCGGCAAACTCCGCCCAAGGCTGGGCCAGCAGCTGGGGCTGGTGCCATCACCAGGGCCTCCTCATCACCCAGGACGCTGGTCTGGCCACAGCACATGCTCCACGGGCCAACACCACGGAGAGGGAGAGAAGGCCACTGCCCAGGGGAGGCCTACAGCTCACTCTGCAGAAGACAGCAGGGCCACTGGCAGCGCCCAGGGTAGTGTCCACAATGGTCCAGGGCCAGGTCCTACCAAGAGCACATCATGTGATGGGGACAGGGCCGGCTGGGGGCAGAGTCCCTGTCCTACCAGGCAGGTCCCCTCTCCGGGCTTCCTCGCCGGCGTGGGGCAGCAGGGGCTGCGTGCGGTGAGCCGTAGCCCGGGGCCCTGACTAGGAGCATGTACCACGGCGCAGAGCCTGCTCAGCACAACCTGCCCAGGACCCCAGGGCAGAGGGGCAAAGGCCTCCCCGCTCAGGGGTCCACCCTAGGGGGAAGTCCAAATGCCACGGGGCCTGCTTCTCTCGTCCACTCGGCACCCTCCCATTCCCACAGCCTCACTCCACGCCAGGGACTAAGCTGGCTGCTCCAGATCTCAGTGTCCCCACATCAGCCGCCTTGCCACTTAGCAAGGTCTCAGCCACACCCAAATGTCCCCTCAACATGAGGGACGCAGCCTCAGAGATGCATGGCTTCGCCATCTCCCGGGACTGTCGGCGTCTGGTCTGGACTCGCTGCACGCCTGGCCCAGGAGTTTCCCACAGCTCCAGGAGCACCCTAAACCTCCACGTCCACCCCATGCTGCCCATCACACCTCTGACCCTGCCGTCCAGCTGCAGCCCCACTCCCAGCCCAAGGCCTGCAGAGTACGGCAGGCAACACCACCCCAGGGCAACAAGCATCTCCCTGCATGGCTCAGGACACCCGTGCAGAACCCTCGATCCTCTGCAGCCAGGGGTCAGCTCGCAGCCAGGGCACTGGAGCAGGTGCTGGGCCTAGGCCCCTCCCTTCTGCCTCAGCCTGCAGAACCAGAGAAGGCCGGACAGCACAGGTGAGGGCAGAGTGACCAGCTGCAAGGTGCAGCTCCCGGGGGGAGCTCCCATGCGGGGCTCTGGCAGGGGACCCTATTATTTGGCCCCAGCCCAGAGCACCGCAAACTCAGTGGCCCTGTGGTCACTCAGGTCTGGGCCCCACTGGGCTAGGGCGCCACCTCTAGGGAGAGACATCAGCACCACTGAGGGTCACGAGAGGGCCAAGAGGCAGACCAGCCACGCCTTCAAGTGCTGACCATGGCAGGAGGCCCAGAGGAGGTCAGAAGGAAGAGCCACTCCTCGCTGCTGCCAGCTAAGGCAGTGCTACTGACTGACCAGGGAGGGACGGAGACCTCGGCAGGCCACCTCTCTCAGCAATGCCAGCTTAACTAAGGCTCCGCCATCCAGGGCCACGTATCACCACAGGCTGGTGCCAGTGCCCCACCTCTGGGGCCGCCCTCGCCTCCTGCTTCTTCCTGAGATGCAGATGCCTGCCCAGGGACACCCTCACCTTTCGGTCTCCTCAAGGTCATCTGCCGATCTCCTCACCCAGAACTCGTGCCTCTCAACCGAGACCACCCCCGCTCCCCACACAGCGTGCTCATGGCCGTGCAGGGCCTGGCTCGGGCACCCTGCACTGTGCCCCACCTGAAGCCTCGCCAACACCTGAAGCACCTGCTGTGGTGAGCCCCAGAGCCAGATGCACCTGTCCACCAGCTTTCCTCAGGTGACTTCTCGCAGGGACCCTGTTCCCGTTCAGGTTCGTCCCTGCGGCGGCCCCGGCCCCGGCCCCGCTCTGGCCTCTGTCCCATTCTCCTGAGACGCCTGGCCACAGGACCCAGAGCCTCAGCATCTCTCCCACTTTCCTGGTGAGGCTGACCTGTGGCAGGGGTCAGGACCAGAGGACAGAGGGCACAGTGCATGTGTCCCCAGGGCAGATGCAACACCATAAGCACCAAGGGGGGCAGTGGGTGCAGGACCCCAGGCAGTGAGGCCAGCAGACGCCGTGTGCTCCAAGTGCGCCACCACCACCCCTGCAGCTGCCCCTGGGGCCCATGAGACAGGAGCAGGTCTGGGGACAGGCCCTTCACCCCTCAGCCCCCAGGTGGGTTCTTCTTCCACATCCAACAACAGAAGTGCATGGCATCCAAGGTCCCCACCTCCGAGCCCACAAGACGTTTCGGGAACGAAGACATGAAGCGGTCTTACCTGTCGACCCACATTCTCCTGAAAGGCAGCCTGTGGGGCAGAAAGAAGAATCAGCGGTGAGAGGCCCAGCCGCGCACAGCCACATCCGCTGGACCAGCCCCGCGACTGCTGGGCCCAGTCCCACCCTGGACAACAGCTCCCAGGTGGCTTGTCACCGTTTCTGTCCTGGAGTGCTTCAAAACCACAACTCAGGCATCCAGTGCATAAAATCAGACGCGTCCTAAGAGCGGCCTTCCCAGCCAACGGCTTCAGGTCGGAGCCCAGGTTTACGACCCAGAGTTCAACACAGAAGGAGCCAGCAGGCCCCAAACACTTTCTTTTTTAAAATTTTTCTATTTTTTTAGTTGTAGACGGATAGCATACTGTTATTTATTTATTTATTTATTTATTTATTTATTTATTTATTTATTTATTTTATGTGTTTCTGAGGATGGAACCCAGTGCAAGGCAAGCACTCTGCCACTGAGCTGTGGGCCCAGCCCCCAAAACACCTTCTTGGGACTCTCAAGGCCACAGCCCATCAGTCACCGGCATTTGGGGCTGCCTCTTAGAGGGCACCTGCCCCAACGCCACCTGTGGTCACTCTGGCTGGGCACCTGAATCCCGCAGGCCACACAGTGGGTCTGAGGAGGTCCCAGGTGAACTTGAAGTCCAATGCCTCCAGGTGGGTCCCTGGGAGGTTCCTTTCATCCTGCCCTCCCAGGCACGGCCCAGTGACAAGGACACCTCAGCTCTTCTTTGTCACCAGTGGGCCTGAGACTCTTGCCAAAGCATCTGGGGCAGAGTCCTCTCTAATCAGCTGGAGACTGGCAGAGACGTGGGCCCCACGGGAGCTGGAGCAGCACTGCCCTCGGCCTTCAGCAACAGGTGCAGCCAGAGGGCGACGCAGGAGGGCCGGAAGAAACGCCCTGCCTGGGCGGGCGCCCCCAGAGTGCCACCACAGGGCACCCCAGGGCGCAGCCCCAGCCCCAGCAGGGCGAGTGATGGGACACGTAGGCAGCTCAGAGCAGTCTTGAGCAGTGACACCGGGAGCCTTGGGGCAGTGTTCAAACACCTTCCAAACTGGAGGCCACAAGCACTCTTGGGCCCGTTCTGCAAGGGTTTCACTAAGTGCATTAAAGAAAAGGACAGAAACAACCAAGAGGCAGTGCAAACAGACACAACTCCACTTCCACACAATGTGAGGTTTCAAACTTTCAGCATCCTGGTGACATCATTGAAAGGAGGTTCCGTGGAAAAGCACAGGCCCCAGGTAGTAAGCCAGTCTTGAAGGAGAGCCTGGGGTCTCAGCCCCCTAGGTGAGCTGACCACAGCGCAGCAATCAGGACAGCGTGCAGTGAGAGGCTGCACACATGGCTGATGGCACGTGACAGGACAGACGGCTCAGAACCCCGGCCAGAAGCAGAAGCAAAGAAAACAGTAATGAGCAGTACGGGGTGGCGGGCCCCAGAGGACTCCAAGATGAGGATGAGAAGACGGAGCACAGTCACAGCCGTAACCGCCATCCAAACACCTGGATGAGCACAGGCGACACTGAGAACGTGAAACTCAGGAGAACACAGTCCAGTCAGAACTGGCAACGGACCTGGGCAGGCATCACTGACCAGAGGCGCCTCTGTGACCAACAAGACCTGCAAAGAGGCTCGCCTCTGGTGTCCACGCTCAGAGAGGACGGGCAGGCAGGAGGACACACGCAGAACAGACACATCCTGCGGGGGTGACCCCCAGCTGCACGCTCGCTCGCTCGGCACTTGCCGAGAAACAAGAAGCACACTCTCACGTAAAAGCCCAGGCCTGGCTGTTCACAGGACTCCATGCGGGAGCTCTGACTCCTGGCTGTGGCTTGTGGTGCCTCTTCACTAGAGCCCGGAGACACAGAGAAGGGCCAGGGGCCACACGCTGCTCCCCTCCCTGCTCAGGAGACGAGGAACCCCATGACTAGAGGGGACAGGGGCCCTGAGGTGCACAGCAGGACCAGGGCCACACGCTGCTCCCCTCCCTGCTCAGGAGAGAAGCGACAGTACTGGACCAACAGACCACCGAGGAACCCAGTGGTGTGGCCGTGGTCCAGCCAGGGCAGCGAGGGCCTGATGGTCAAGGCCACAACGGCACGGCTGGCCGGCCATCAGGGCCTCAGGTCCCGGCCTCACTCAGGGAGCCAGCTCCACAGCCTTCTCACCCTCTAAACCCGGCACCTAAGCAGGCTGGGAAGGAGCCTGGAGGCCACCATGGCCCGGCCTAGGTGCACGTGCTGGTTGAAGCCTGAAACATCACCCCACTGTGCACCTCCTTCAGGGAGCGTCACTTCAAAACACACTGGAGACGTTAAAGCCTCCCGGCAGAGTGGACCTGGGGCCCTCAGGGCGGCAGGGCCTTGCAGTGCTGGTCAGCCCCCAGCGCCAGAGGCCGGCCACAGGAGCCCAGGGGTTAGGGAGGCAAAGGAGCTTCCTGGTGTTCAGTGGCCTCTGGTGGAGAAGGGTCGAGACCCGGGCCACAGCCCAGTGCAGGCCAGCAGGGCGCCCAGGCTTGGGCCAGCCTGCCCCACGGCCAGCGCGTGTGCACAGGTGCTTGTCTGTCCCTCCACATGTGTTCATATGTGTGCACTGCCTCCTCCCTGGGAGCGAGCCACCAGAGTGCACCACAGCCACAGCCACCACCCATCAGGCAGCAGCCCGGCACCCACAGCAGGGCCCTGGGCACACCGAGTGTGGTGCTGAGCGCTGGGGAGCCACGGGGTGGCCTAGCTGGGGGTGCCACTGCCATCCACTCTCCTTTCATGGCCACAGCCCCCATCCTGAGAAGAGGCCACTGCCCATGCATGGCAGAGCGGGAAGAGACTGATCACAGTGCTGCCCTACAAGCTGCTTAAGCAACTCTGCTGTGGATTTTGGTGCCAGTGTCAGTTCCAGAGCTAAGTAGTGCTCCACCACTGCCCTATGCCCATCTTCCTGGCTCCCCACTCCCCCACCTTCCTGACCTTCCATCTCTCTACCTCTGCTTTCCCCATCTTCCTGGGCTTCTCTGACTTCCCCAGCTGCCCCCTCCCCGCTCTCCTTCCCCCTCCCCCCCCCCCCCCCCCCCCCCCCCGCTAGGCTGGGCGGCCTTGTGTGCAACATGACACTAATGATCCCACCACGTGCTGCGTTGCCCTGGCTGTCTCCTGTGGTGCGGGGGACCCTGCAGTCCTTCTCAGCTGGAAGAACTGCCCTTGTTCAGGTCTCTTTGCAACCCAGCCAGGCAGGAAGTAGCCCTTCACGCCCTGCTTCACATCTCGCCCTCAGTGCCCCTTGTGGGGGCACAAGCACCCTTCCACTAATCTGTTGAAAACCCCAGGAGAGCATGTTACAGGTGCCGCCCTTGCACACAATCTGGTTCTCGGTCTCTGGGAGGTCAGCTGCATCGTGTACTCCTCCACCCCAGACCTGAGAGAGGCGGCCACTTCTCCACAGGCCCCCAGAGCTAAGTGCCCCCCTCATGGAGCAACCCATGCTGGCAGCCGTGGCAGGGAGCACAAGTGTCTCTCACTGCCTCGACCAGGCTGAAGCCAGGTGCACACGTGGGGAGCTCTGGCTCCGGGCCCCTTTGCCCACAGCAGCCTCACAGCCTGCACCTCTGCGAGGCACAGCCTCTCGGTGGGCGCCTGGACCGGTCAGTGTGGGAGGTGACTGCACCCTCACCCCAGCCTGTGAGGCACCAAGTGCAGTCCTCCCAGTCCCAGCTTCCCCCACCTGCCACCAGCCACTCTCACCACTGATGGCATCTACAGGGCACTGACACAGCTCAGCAGGCTCTCCACACAGGTGTCCAGAGAACGTCCCCCCTTGGCAGCCCCGGGAGCCTCTGGAGAGCCTGGGGCTCGCTGCGACCCAGCCCACGGGCAGAGGAGTGGGGCGGGGGGGCAGCATGAGTCGGGAGGGGGGGACCAAGCATCTGAGTTCAGAACCCAAGCTCCCCTTGGGCTGCGAGGCCTGAGTAGTGAGGCCCCTCGAGCAGCTGCCGGAGGCCAGGAGGCCCCCAGTGAGGGCCCTGCGGTCCCCGCAGGCCAAGTTCACAGGACCTGGCCATCCCAGCCCAGTCAGCGTTGGCCGAGTGACACCCACCCGGTGGGCTCAGGGCCGCCCAGGAAGCCAGTGAAGAGGTCCCCTGCTCCCTGCAGCCCCACCTCCCTCCCAGCAGGAGCAGCTGGGGTCCGGGGTGTCAGACAGGAGGCCCTGTGCAGCCTGCTGGGCTGCCAGGGAGAACGTGTCAAAACAGGGACTCACCGAGGCCGCTCTCCTGCAGTTGACGTCTCGATCAAACACAGCGGAGATGACCAGGGCGCTGGGGAGAAGAGGCGACTGATGAGAGCCACCAGGGGGCTGCGCGGCTCCCCCCACTCCACGCCCCCCCACTCCACAGCTCCCACCGGGTCTTCACACCGAACCTCCGCGAGGGCAGTGCCGCAGGTCTGGCACCGGCCACCTGGCCTTCCTCTGCTGGCCCCTTGTCCCCTCACAACCCATCTGTGGTCTCAGGGGCCCCATTCTCCATGTTGCCTGGTTGTGCGTGGCCCCCTCCCAGGCCTTGTGACAGCTGTGCGGCTACCCTCTGGCTTCCACATCTGGGACGCCTCCCTCAGGTGTCTGGGGCGGGGACCGTCAGCACCCATGGTCAGGTCAGGGCCTGAAATGGGCAGCAAAGTGGGCCTGGCAGCAGCGAGAACCAGCTGTTCTGACCTCAGCAGCACCTTGCTAGAGGGAGCCATAGGCCAGAAGCGAGCAACCAGCAACATGGAGAATGGGGACACAGGGCCACCCAGAGCACCCCCTGGGGCTAGAACAGAAAAGAATCAGGAGGGAGTCGGTCTCCTGCAAAGGGGACAGAGCCCAGCCAGGAGGGACTGCGACAGGACAACAGAGCGGCCCCACGGTGCACAGGTAGGGTCCAACAAAGGAGGCGAGGACAGCTTTCCCACAGAGGGCCTGCACCCCGTGAGCGTCAGAGAAGAGGCTGCCAGGGTAGGACCCCCGAGGACCCCAGCGCTGCGCCAGGACCTGAGGGGCGCCCCTGGGCCCAGGACTGCCAACACTGGGGTGGGTCTTTGGGAGGCGGGCCAATGGTGGGAGCGGCCCTGGAAGGACCTGCCACCTCCTCCCACTGCCACCAGACGAAGCAGCGGAGAGAGAGCCAGGGCCAGGGTGGGCTCCGCCTGGCATCTCACGGCCCTGGCCTGAGCCCAGCAGCATAGCAGGGTCACAGCCCCGTCCCTGGAGAAGGCTCACCTCAGGCAGGCTGTCGCAGGGATGGAGCCGACGAGCATGCCCAGGGCAGGAGAGCAGGCAGGAGCGTCCCGGGACCCCCACCGGCACCATTTGTGAAGGAAGGACCACCCCCTTCCAGCAGACACCGCAGACCCATGGTGGCGGGTGCTTGAGGCCCTCGGCGCGAGGTGCCTGCAGCCCGCCCCAGCCACCCCACACACGGGTCATGGGGACAGAAAGCAGGCAGCACGGCCAGGAAGCAGGGGTCTGCTTGGGGTGGTGGAATGTCCTGGAACTGGGCCGTGGCCGATGGTGGCACAGCTCTGCACACTGAAAGCTACTCGGCAGGACCTCTAAGAGGAGTTTCATGGCACGTGTCCCGCACTGATGAAAGTGACCCAAGGGCGAGGAAAGATGGCAGTCTCAGAGCTAAGGGGCAGAGGAGCCAGAGGCGCACGTGCAGAGGGCTGCTCAGAGGGGGCCTTGGGGAAGGCCTGTGCCCCTGGCACTCCTAGGTCCCCAGGACCCGGGAATCAGGACCTGAAGAGCAGCTGTGGCTCTGAGGACCGGCCTTGGTGCTCAGGATGAGAACTCCATCTACAGTGATCAGCAGCTGGACATCGGGAGGCGGCTTCCACGTCAACAGGCCTTCTGGCCTTGGGAGCGGCCACTCACTAAATGGAGCTCTCGCTAAACGGAGGGCTGCACCAGCGTGATCCTCTAAAGCCTCGAGGCCACACATCCGCTGCCGTGGACACCACGTGCTGGGGATTTCACTCCAAGCACATTCTCAGGAGCAGGGAGATTTACCACCTTACATCCCAACAGGAGCTCTGCATTTTAAAATCCATAAAATCATGTTTTCTAGGAAAAAAAAAAAATTGAGCAAGAACTTCTGTTCTTCACTAGCAACTGCCACCGAGAAACAGGCTGCGGCCCCAGCCTCAGGGCCACACTCCTCACGGCATTCTTGGGCCTCCCTGTCCGACCACGGTACGGAGCGCCTCTGTGAACCATGGGACCTAGGGACCAGTGAGGAGAGGAGGGCAGGAAGAGAGGAGCCTCCAAGCGCCGGTCACCCCAGCAGGCCTGCCCAGTCCTTTCCAGGCCAACGGGCATCGGTCATCCTCGGGGGGTGGCCTCAGCTCCTCAGCGGTGCCTCCCTGTGCTTCCAGGCACAGGTACAATGTGCCCCCAGGGAAGCCTGCTCCTGGGAGACTTGCCCACTGTCCTCTGCAGCCCACTTGTGCTGGGCCTGAGGCCCTCCCCAGGCCTGCCACTGCAGGGCAGTCTGTGTCAGGCAGGAGGACCCGCTGCTCGCCTCAGCACCTCGTTTCAGCACGGCCAGCGAGGACTCCCACAGGAGAGGGAGACATGCCATTCCCCTAGGTAACGGGGAGTCCAGCACTCAGACTGATAAATCAGGGCCTGTTCCCACTTCTTCAGGCTGGAGCTACTTCTTCCTCACTTGTCGGCCTTCCCCCAGGCCACGACAGAACCCACGCGCTCCCTGGTGATACAGCCACAGGTGCAGCCTGCCGGCCACACCCAGCCAGAGAGGGGTGCAGCCGCACGTGGGCTGGCCTCTGGTCAGCGCTGCCAGCCTTTGCCCGGATGGCAGTGCTCTGCCCTCTGAGAGTCGGGCCACTGGCAGGATGAGTGAGAACAAGACGTAGCTTTGAGCGACGCTTGCCATTTCCTGATTTTCCAGGACAATCTTGCCCTCAAGGAAGAGATCCTGCTGAGCCAACCACCAGCCCCTCGCAGCCCACGCTGCCCAGCCGGTTTGCCGTGGTGGAGGCAAGAGTCAGGAGCTGCCCCTGGCATGGGCGCAGTCCTGCGCCTGGGCGGGAGCTAACGTCAACAGGAGGCTTGCAAAAGAGTTTCAGGTGAGGAAATCGCTGGGCGGTGACAATCAGAGCAACCTGGCAAGTGTGGCACCCGCTTTCTTTCCTTCTGCAAGCTGCCTCTGATCACTGGTCAGGAGGGATTTCTAGACAGTGCACAGCGATCCTCGGGATCCCCACTGTGCCTCTCGGGCTCCGCTTTGCCTGGCTAAGAGGGAGCCCCATTCATCCCACACAGTACCCGTCATCTCTAGCTGACCCTGCTCAGGTGAGGAAAGGGTCCCAAGGCAGCCGACGCGGCCTGAAAACACGAACCCGCCCACCTTCCCAAAACAGGCAACGTGAGCTCACACAGGAAGGCAAGAAGCGGCTAACCCAAGTCTGTGCAGCACTCGGGGAAAATGAGTCACGGCTCCTGCCAACTCCCTGGAGGATACGCATGGGCAGGGCCCCTCGCACTCAGACCTGGCCCCAACAGGACTTCTGTTCCCTCAGAGGACCGGGTGCTCATCCCACTGTCAATTTCTGCAGGATCCACCAAAGGGTGTGAAAGTAGAGATGTGGAGATTCTATCATGTGCCAGAATTAATGGGTTTAAAAGCTGGTAATTAAAACGTGGTCACTAGTGAGGAACGGAGCGAGGAGGCCTGGAGGGGTGCACCCCGACCGATACTCGGGCAGGCACAGGCTCCTGGGCAGGGCGGCTGGTGGCAGGCTGCAGCTCACCTGGCACACCCTGACTCACAGCCTCCCCCGCCGGATGCCTGAGTCTCGATAGGCCAGGGCGGGCAAGGCAGCTCCCTCAAACCTGCTGAACCAGCCTGAAACCTGCAGGGCGCACCTCCCAAGAGCGCCGCTGACCCGGCCAGGGCAGGTGCAGGCAAGGGGGTCAGGGCCCTTCCCAGCAGGACCTCCAGGGGCAGCCCGCATTGGCACCGAGGCCATGGGGGCGGTGGCCAGGACTGCGGCTCCCTATGTGACAGGCAGGCACCGGCTCATCAGCACTCCTTCAGCTTGGCCTGGAAGTCGGCAAACCAGCCTCCACTACAGAGAACAGGAGGACCCGGGGAGCCACAGACCAGGCTGGACACGCTGCACACCAGCCACTCCCGTCTGGAGATCCAAGTCTTCCCCAGCCTTGTGCCTGGGCTGTCTAGTGTCGGCCCAGCCGAGAGATCAGCCCTGAAAGCCACTTCCAGGCCCCAGTAGCAGCCACACTCCAGGCCACACCTTCCTGAGAGCCCCACACGTCCCCCAGGACACCCCAGCACAGGCTCGATCCGCCACACTCTGTGCAGACCACGCACTGCAGTCACCACAGAACCCCGATCTCAGAGAGCCTGCACAGGGCCAGCTCAGAGGTCAAACCTGGCCCTTCTGAGTAACAGAGGGGCAGCCCTGGAGTCAAAGCTGCCCATTCCCTCTGCAGAGTGGGAACTCCTCACCCGGCTCAGCTGCAGAGCACTGAGGCAGCTGGGGCCTGAGAACACAGCCAGGCCACGGGCCTCAGAACCCAGTGGCCCTGAGCTCAGACCACAGCACACAAAGGCTGGGAGACACTACCCAGCCATCTCCCCACACCCACACCCAGGACACCTACCCCATCCAGAGACCACCCCCCCAACCCCAGGACATGTGCCACCACCAGAAATACCCACACCCCTACCAGGGACACCCACCACCACCTGGCACACCCACATCCCCACCCAGGACACCCACCACCGTCTAGATACTCACTCCGATCCGCGACATGCACCAGCACCACGGATACCCCTCCGCTGGTACACCTACCACCACCCAGACACCTACACCCACACCCACACCTGGAATACCCATCACCACCTGGGATACCTACACTCCCACCAGGAGACCTACCTGGGCACCTACCCAGGACACCCACACCCCTGTCCGGGACCCACCACCACCCAGGACACCTGCCATACCCAGGACCCACCCCCACCTAGGACACCTGTAGGGGTGCTGGCCCTCCTGGCACCACACCAGCCCCTCCCTGTCAGTGCACATATCAGCCCAGGAAATGAGGGCCAGACGGAGCCTGGGCTCAGAGGAGCCCACGCTCTGGAATGCTCCCGCCGTCCTGCAGCTCCAGGCACCCGGGGGTGTGGGCTACAGGCACTACGCCCCCAGGCTGCGGGGCCTCCCTGCCCGGTGCCACCACACGCCTCAGCAGCACACCCAGGCCCGGCAGCCACCTGGGCCTGCTGAGCTGAACTCCAGTACTTGGAGCAGCTGCGGCTTTCTGGTCTTCTAAAACCACCTCCCTGCTCACCAACGGGCACCGTCCGTGCAGCACCGTCCGTGTGGCATCCCGGGGCCCACCACACCCACGCAGCAGTCTTTACCTTGCAATGGAGGTCACGAAGGGCCTCAGCTCCTGCGGCTCGTAGGCTCGCGCGAAGGCCCAGCACACGTAGCAGGCAGCGTCCCTGACATTGGCACCCACGCTGCAGGCGCCCCGCTTCTCCTCGTAGGTCAGCGCCTTCAGGATCACGGCGACAACTGGGCAGGAGACAGACAGTCAGCACGGCTACGTGGGAAGAGGACAGTGCACGGCCTGCCGCAGTTACGGCCTGGACAGGACGGGGCTGCAGGGGAGCACAGACCCACAGCCCGTGCTGGAAAGGCCCAGGCCTCAGGAGACAGCCCCTCCCGGGCCTCCAAGAGCAGGGGGTCGGGAGGCGGGCAGGCAGTCTCGCCCGGCCAAGGGGCCCGCCGTCACACACGCAGCTGCACAAGTACCCCTGGGAGGATCCAGGGCACTGGGGGCACTGCATGCCGCGTTTAGAACTTTACCTACCTGCCTCTTCCGTACGAGGCTCATGTATTTCAGCACTTGGAAAGGGTATGTGAGAGACACATACGTTAATTAAAATACGTTTATTTAAACGTTTAACACCCTTACTTTATAATTAAACCAGCTGTCAATTTTTTAAAACCTTCTGAGAGTAACATTAGGGAAATGCAACAACAAAAAAGAACCTCAAAAAACTCTGGTAATTCAAAGAATATCAATTTTTTTTCAAAGTCATGTCACATGAGATTTTCTGAAAGACCATGCTAAAAGTCCCATTGACCCAAAATGGACAACCACGCTGCCACAAAGAGTGACAAACAGCTCGCTCGTTGTTTGGGAAACTAAAAAACCAGAAGCACATGACCACCATGCCAGAGGGGGAGGAGCCAGTCACGGCCCTGCATGACAGGTGTGCAGGGCCACCGAGACGGCCACACCCTCGACGGGACACCCAGCAAGTGCACGCGCTCTGGCAGGATGCGGCCCAGCAGCCTCCACAGCCGCATCTCCATGACATGGCAGGAGGGAAGCCAGCAGCTTCCAGACCACCTGGCACCCACAGGCAGCCCTCTCTGGGGCAGATGGCCCTGGTCCCCACATGTGAGCTGGCCTGAGGTCCAGGGCAAGGCAGGGCAGGAGGCCACGACAGGGGCACGAGCCACCTGCAGCAGCACCTTACCACGGCCCGCCACGGCACGGACGCATCCAGGACGGCACCCGGAGGCAGGTCACGCAGCAAGCCGCAGGGTGACCTTCAGAGTCCCCTCTGCCTTTCTGCTCCTAAGAATTTTTTATTCTACTTAAATCACAATACAAGACGAACGTGATTTCATATTTTTTGTGCACATTTTTATACCAATAAAATAGTGAGATTCATAAACTCACCTAAAACTACATAAAATCAGTTTATTTCAAAATAAATTCACTTTGGTTATATCTGCTTCCACCAGGCATGAGAGCCCCAGAGCAAGCCTGCCACAGGACAGGCAGTGGGCAGGGCCTACAGGCTACAGGAGGCCCCTCACCACAACGTCAAGGTCACCCCTCCACAGACTCGCTTCTTCAACGAACGGCAGCAAGACACCCACATGGGGCGGGTCACGGCCCCTCACCTGAGATGGAGCCCCCAGGGGCTGCTCTTGCCAGTGGCCACACCATCCTCTCTCAAGCCTCGTGCAGGGCTGGGCAGTCACCCAGGCCAGCCACTCTGGGCTGTTCCACATCCCCTCCCAGAGCCTGCCCACCGACAGCAGCCACTCCCGCTCCACTCGTCCTGCTCTGCCAAACCCAACCGCTCTAGAAGGGGCCATGGGGCCACACAGGCTGCCCCTCCCATCTCCCTCTCGAGGGCACTCGACCCCCACCGGCTGCCCACCAGCCTTGCAGCCCCACCATCAGCCACAGCCTCCAGGCCCCATGGACCTCCACCCTAGGAGGCAGCACCAGGCAGACGCGCCGAGCAGCCAGTGGAATGAGCTCTAGTCCTGAGGGCTGCCGTGGCCACCAGGAGCCACACCCGCCTCCCAGGGAGCACAGCCCAGCGAGCGACCACTGCTGCCGTGGCTGGGGAGGCGCACCACTCCAACCCGACGGGACCAGACCCGGTCCACCTGGAGGACCCAGCCTCTGTACCATGCTGACCCACTTCTGTGCTGCAGGGCAGGCGTCAAGGGAACAAGGACTGTGGAGCCTGACGAGCCGAGGCACTGCGGAGGGCACCTCGTGGGGTGCAGACCAGGGGCATGGCTCAGGGCCTCAGACGGCCTCGAGTGTCAGCTCGGGCTCCGCAGGATGAAGCTGGGCCCCCAGCAGGCGGAGGGGCAGATCCACACTCACACCCGCACACCTGGGAGCACCATCCGCCCCGGCAGGCGCGGCCCCCTTCCCGGGCTCTCCACCCCAGCTCTGTCCCCAGGTGCAGGGAGTGGTGCCCTCATCTCTGGCTAGTGAGGGGCACTGAGGAAGGTCCACCTCCGCCAGCCACATCAGGTGACAGCCGCTTCTGAGCCCAGTGTGTCCACTGTCAGTGCTACCTAGCAGAACCCCAGCTGGTCTCCTGTACCCCAGTCCAAGGAGTCTGCACAAACCCATGCTGCCGCCCTGCTGAGAAACCCAGGGCCTCAGTAACACCACAGCCAGCTCCAGGGTCCGATCAGCAGTGCCCCGGGCCTGCCAGCCTCCACGCAGTGCGGCCCGTGAAGGCGGGTGAAGGCGGAAGCTCTGCCCATGGCTGCTGGAAAGCTAAAGACTGACAGCAATGAGTAATCCTCAATGGGAAGAAGAGACCCCACTCGGGCTCTGGTGCACCTCAAGGTGGCAGCCGCAGCCCGGCGAAGCAGGGGTCAGGCCTGCATCCCCACTCCTCAGTGGGCCCTGCCACCACCTGACCTGGCTGTGTCCAGACTGGGCCATGCAGGGGAGGTGGACATGGCACTCGCAAGGTGGGCTCACAGCTGGCCGGGAAACCTCGGCCCCAAGGTTTTATATGAAGTCCTCGTCACAGAAGTTCAAAAGCACACAACTCCTTCCAGATTCAACAGGTTTAAAATAAGGAAACCGTTCGAAAGCTTTGAACAGACCTTCCTCCTGGCTCCAGTTACACACTGCGAATGCCTGTCAACTGTACCACGCACCCCAGGGGCTTCCTTTTGGCAAGGGAGCCCAGCAATGTAATTTAAGCACCCTCCCCTCCAGACAGCATGTCATGTGTTCACTGCCAACTGCCCAAGGAAAAGCAGCCTCCAGGGGCGAGAAGCTTAACCCCCAGATCCCCGCATGCCTACATCAGGGTCTGCAGAGCCTGCAGGCTCAGAAGAGCACAAGGCTCCTCCTCAGAGGCGGAAACAGCCTGTCCTCAAGACCACACCACAGTGACATCTTCCGAGCCAACGAGCTGCGCCAATCCTAAAACAAGTCAAGCCCCAGGGCGAGTGTGCTGTGTGGGCTCGCGCGCACAGAGCTCGTGCAAATCCACCTTCAACTGGACAGCGAGGCATGTGCAGAGCCCAGCAGCAGACAGCAGAGGAAAGCATGGTAGCATGGACAGCCCTCACAGCAAGGGAAGTGATGGTGCACAGGCACTGGGCAGGGGTGCTGGCCATGTCAACCTTGGGGACTTCACCTCCCAGACCCTGACCCACTTCATCCCACAACGGGGCTGCATGTGGGCCACACTCAGGTCCAGGAGCCCATGCAGAGCCTGAGCCCGGAGAGCACCAGCTTCCCAGAGCAGGTGTGGCCACTGCCACTGCCACCTGCCTCTTGTACCAACAGCCATCATACCGTCCTCAAGAATGCAGTCCAACTTGCACAGAAAAAAATGCCCACACTAGAGTTTGCTGGGGGCAAGAGGAAATGACAGACAGAACGCCTGCCCACAGGCCTCTGGGCCCCCAGGCCCCACTGCAGAACTGCCCCAGAGGCCCCAGCTGCCAGTGGCACGGCCACCCGTCACCATGCAGGAGGTGCAAACCTGTGTGCTCTGCCTTCAGAGGGCCAGCAACCCCACCTGGCACCCAGGGCACCTGCCCAGCACACCTGGACTGCCAAGTGTGCTCCCCACAGGCGTCACCTGGCTCTGCCCTCCCCAGGGGCCTCAGACACTGTGGGCATGGTGCAGTCACCCCCAAAGCCCCAAGCACACTCTTGCCCCATGCCAGGTGCTCAGCCCACTGACCAGGAGTTGAGAGACAAGGCCCCTCCCAGCCACACGACCCAAGGACCCCATGAGTACCCCACAGGGTCGGGGCTGCCTCTGCCACGGCCAGACATGGCACCTGTAAGCCTCAGCGAAGGCCTGCCCTAGAGAAGCGCAACACCGGAGGTGAGGTCTAGCCTGAGGACAGGCCCTCAGGAACACCTGCAACTTGCAGAGCGAGCCTGGGTGATGACAAGGAGCAGCCTGTGCGTGCCTCCGCCATGTCCCCCAGGGACAGGGCAGCTCCTGCCACACCACACCCCACTCGCCAGCCACAGCATAAGCCAAGTCGGCACCAGCTCCCAGTGGCTCAGCCAACTCCCAGGAAGTGGTGAGGACACACCAGGGACACACACACACAGGCCTGCTGTCCTGCATGAGGGCAGCGGAAAACCCGGCAGCCAGGCGCCCTCCAGACCTCAGGGGGCCTCTGCACTCAGACCCCCCAACCTCAGAGCTGCTCCTCAAGCAGCGAGACGGGGACTTCCAAAATTGCATTCAAAACAGTAAGAGAAACTATTGTCTCTGAAAAGGCCAGGCGTCTCTCGTCCCAGCGACACGGCAGGCCGAGGGAGGAGGATGGAAGCTCTAGGCCAGCCTGGCACCTGTGCAAGGCTCTGAGAGAGAAGTTAAAAGGGCGCAATGAGGCTCAGAGCATGCACAAGGGCCTGGCAGGAGCTCGCGATCTACCCCCGAGTGGACAGCAGAGCCCATGCACATATACACGTGCGCATAACTGGAAGCTTCTGCCCCAGCCCGGACACGGTCGGTTCCACGCGACGTCATGGGAGGAGGGCAGAAGGCCTCCTGCACACGTCTCCACAACCTCCTGTGCAGCTACAAGTGTGCAAGGTGTTTAACAACAACATGACCAACAGAAGCTGAAGTGAGGACAGACCCCCATGAGAAGACTGACTGCTCACCAAGGATGCAGAAAACTGACGACTTGGGCTCAGATGGGCATGCAGCACGTGTGCCCTGGACTGCTGCACTGGGCAGCCCTGCAGA